TAAGAAGGCTGAGTTCAATAGAGAACCTCTATTTGCTAAATTCCGACTCAGAGAACCTATCAAAAGACCAATATTGAGCGCAGACCCATCAATTATAGCTCATGAACTGCAGCCACATGATCAGTTTGTAATATTTGCTTCTGATGGACTGTGGGAGCACCTTAGCAATCAAGAAGCTGTTGATACTGTCCAAAATAATCCACGTAATGTAAGATTTGATTAGTACTGATCAGTAGCTTTTATTCTGTTACGTGGCATACATAGTACTTAGTAGATCTAGAATATCCTCTTTTGCATTGTTAAACTTAGTCAAATTTTGAAATGTTCTTTCTTCTTCTTCTTCTTTTTTTTTTTTTTTTTTTAAATTCTAGTTTGATTTTATGCTTCTGCGCCCTGAGAAATGTCTAATATGTAGATTTGCTTAGTACTCTGTTATAAGTAGCTGTCTAAGCACAGCTTTACCTTTTAATCTTTTATGAGGTCAGTTATATGTGCTTCTGTTGTTGAGCTGTGCATCTGTCACTGAATTCTTCTCCCGCTTCTTAGTTATTCACAATTTCTTGATTCGATGTCTCAAACTGCTTTCACATCTCTTGTTTGGGTTAAAAAAACACCTATTCATGCACAATAATGTGGAGGAAAGATCATGTTTCTAGGTTCCTGTTTTAAGTCTATTACTTTGTCTCATGTGTTGAGAGATGGGAACTTTGTCGCCCATCATCTTGCTAGGCTAGTTCCTTTTGGGGTAGAACAAGTTTGGGAGAATCATTACCCTAGTGATATCTCTCCGTATGTACTATCAGACTCTTTGATGCTTAATGAATAAAATGTCTAGCCTGACTTCCCTCAAAAAAAAAAAAAAAAAATGTGGAGGAAAGATAATGTGTTTTGGTTCTAATTTCCTTTTTCTTCGGCTTAGCTTTAGTTTCATATTTTCAATACAATATAGTATTGTTTTTTGTATTAAAACTGTTTTCTTTGTCTTGGGTTTATCTTACTATCACATGCATATCTAATCTATTACCTTATGTTTTAGCAGGGAAGTGCTAAGAGACTGGTTAAAACTGCACTTCAAGAAGCGGCTAAGAAGCGAGAAATGAGATATTCGGACCTGAAGAAAATTGACCGTGGGGTTCGCCGTCATTTCCATGATGACATCACTGTGGTTGTGGTGTTCCTCGACTCAAATCTCGTGAGTCGGGCTACGAGTGGATCTAAGGGTCCACAAGTATCAATTAGAGGAGGTGGGATTACCTTGCCTTCGAATACTCTAGCACCCTCATAGATGGTCACTTGTCATGCTACATGGCTTTCAGAAAATCAGGTGCGTTTTTTAAGAAGGGGAGAGGCAAAAGCAGAGGGTACTATAACATGTTCTCATGATGTATGCCGTAGCTACTTTTAACTTGGAACTGACAGTGGATTTTAAAGGTCTGTCGTGGAATCGAGAACAGTGTTATCTGGAAATCAGAATACCTCAGGTGATGGTTATGGTAGTTAAATTCCTCATATTGACTAGTATCTTTGTTTCCGAGGATTTTCCACTTTTACTCTATCTATTTGTTTAATTCTATTAATATTTACTTAATATATCCGAAGGGTGCTTTTAGGCCCATTGTATAAAAAGAAAGGGAAAGAAAAAGGGGCCATTTTGGCTATACTCTTCAGTCTGAACATCTTAAGAAACTTTTAGCTAAGATGCTAACTGAAAGGGGCTTTAAGCTTCTTCAGCGTAGCACGAATTTGTGATTCTCCTCCTTTGGTTCAGATTTGGAGTTAATTTGCTCCCCACTTGGGGTTTGTAGATATGGGTTTGGATAGTTTCTTCGCTTTTATTGCATAAACTGTCTTTAAGGTAGGCACTAGGACATTGGCTTTAGGCTGGACCCTTTTGAATTTTTTTTCCTTGGAGGAACTTGTAATATACGAAGTATAAATTGGCTGTTAACTTGTTGAACGATGATGTTTGCTATTTCAGCTGTCCATCTGGTTTAAGGATAGGGTTGTATACTTGTATATATCTTGCCATTTACCTGTTATGTTGAATGTTGATGCCTTGGTGAATTAATTTATATAGCATTGTGGTTGTGGACTTGTGGTATTGCCTTTTGTTTTCCATCGGGCTCAGTCTTAGCATGGGACGTGTCCATTGTTCGTGATGACCTTTCTAGCTATATGGGTATAAGTTCTCTTTTAATCTAAATCAAAATATGTCCGAAGCATGTTGGTGAACCAGTCAATGTAGGCTCTAACTCACCTCGTCTGGTTCGACTAGACTTGAAACGGATTAGACGAGGACTATACTTGTTGGGTGAAATTGTCATGCTGTTTTTATGGGTTCAGGCCAATAATGTGAAAACAATTGCAGAATTAGGAAAACTTTAGGAGGCGTTTGGTTCGCAAACTGGTATGGGGTTGGAATCAGGAATGAAACCATAGTGGTATGAGTTTGGAACTTGATTCTTAATACCATATGTTTGGTATGATTATAAAATGCAATGTTTCTCTTTTATTTAAGGAAAAATTGATGGGAATAAATCCCACCTTTTGAGCGTCGAAGATTAATAATCCCACCTTTGGGATATTTTTAAATAATCCCACCTTTGTACCTTATCCGCTCCTAACAGTCCCGGGTGACTAGTAACCAGTTGAAGAGGTAATTTTTTTTTAAAGTTTATTTTACACATGTCACAATTTGATTTGTCCAAAATTAAAAGTAAAAATAATTAAAAAGTAAAAACAAAAAAAAACAAAAAAAAAAAAGAAAGAAAACCAACACCACAGCCACGCCATCCCCACCAGGCCACCACCATCCAAACCTAGACCAGAAACCACAGCCACCCAGACGCGAAACCACTGCAACCCGAAACCACTACCACCCAGGCGCGAAACCACCACCACCCAAACGCGAAACCACCGCAACCCACCCCAGCCAACCTAACCCCAAAACCAACCTAACCCCAGCCAGAAACCACGCCCCCCAGACCCGAAACCACCTTTGAAAAATCAAAAATCCACCAAACCCAATTCCACCTTCAATAAGTCGAAAATCCCACCAAATTGACTAAATCGAGGTGGGGGAAAGAGGAGGGAGGTCGGGATAGGGACGGAGGAAGGGGGGAGAGGATCGAAACGGGGGAAAAGGAGGGGAGCCGGGATCAGGGGGGAGAAAGGAGGCTGGAAATCGAGAATTGTGGGATGGTTGGTTTTCAAGGGTTTTCGTGACGGTGGAAGGGAAGCTGGTGGTTCGAGGGAGGAGGAGAGGGGGCGTCGGCGCCAGGGGAGTTGATCTGGGCGGTCGGCGTCATGGGGCAAGGCACTTTGGCGGCAATGATGGCGGGATCAGGTGGCGGGGAGGGTGGTTGCCTGGTCGGGGATGGTGGGTGGTTTTTTTTAATTATTCAATTATTTTTTTTCCTAAAAAATTTGTTTTTTTAAAAAAATAAATTTTATTTTATTTTATTTTTTTCGACCAATCGCAGACCAACACGTGTCTGGTAACTTGTAATAACAAGTCACATGACCGGTTGGGACTGTTAGGAGTGGATTAGGTACAAAGGTGGGATTATTTAAAAATATCCCAAAGGTGGGATTATTAATCTCCGACGCTCAAAAGGTGGGATTATTCCCATCAATTTTTCCTTTATTTAATGTCGGGAATGAGTCAAACTGCCAAACCCACCTCCCCCCCAAGGTTTCTAAACCCCATACCTTGGGGTTTGGGGTATGGGTTTAAAACTCATAAAATTATAAAACAAACATAAGGTATTGATTTAAACCATTCTAAACCCATACCTTATACCTTAATTATGTGAACCAAACACCCTCTTAATGGGTTGAGTTGGGTTGCAAAAACTCAGTTAGCTGTGAACTGAACCAATCCAGCCTCACCTGATTCATACAAGGAATAGCAACTTGTAGAGCCTAAAGGCAAAAAACAGCTTAAGCCTTAATCAGCTTGCCTTTTGAGTCCTGAGCTTGTGACCACCTTCAGACGCTACAGCTCTATCAAGAAGACTAAGCAGGTGTATCTACTGTCTCGGGGTGAGCAAGATCGAGCTTCCGTTTGAAGTTAAGGAGCCCTATTACAAGTTTAGACCTCGTCGCCCTGGTATCAGATTCAATTCTCAAACCTTTTGCTCTTCACCAGTTAGTACTGCTCGTCTACACAATATGACAATAGCTTGTTCTGATTGCTGAGTGAGTTTGTGATCAAGTAAACATTGAAAAACTTGATTCAAGTCTCAGCTATTTTGATCAACATCATTACCCCAAAAGGGTTACACTTTCTGACACTTCATTTATTATACTGATTTTTTTTTCTTTAATAGGAAGGCCCATTGAAATAATGAAGAGAAACATCACTTATTGAGAAAGCAGGTTTTTTTTTTTTAACTCATCCTATTAGAAAAGGGAAGGTTTAGGGAAATCCTCCTATAATAACCTCAGTGAGAATGGCCCTAGCCTTACACCTACACGGCTACACCTGACGGCACGTTTGGTTAACAATTAGAGTATAAATTGTGGTAATGGTAGCGAATTTGTACATAATCTAGCAATGAAGGTCATTACTATGTCAATTAGTTAACGGAACTCTTACTAGCTAGAACATGAATTTTTTTCGCCCCACAAATATTCATTATCACACAATACCACCCCTAAATTGATTATAAAAATTTGGAAGAAAATGAGGTTTTTGAGGAGAGACTAGTATACTACGGAGTATATAAATTGACATGAAATCTTTTTCTACAAAGTTACTTATAAAGTCATTACCATTATCATCGTTTATAATCAAAGTTGTAGAGCTAACCGCTAGGCCCGCTACCCTAACTTCCTACAATGCTACAAAGTATATCATACTCCGTGTAAGATGGCTAACCACCAGTGAACCTACTTCCCATATTCTAAACCTAGAAGGCTACAAATGAATGGGTCTACAAATGGATGGGTGCAGTTTTCTGTGGACCGCCCATTTGAGTGGAGCCTGTTTCATCAGACTCTTCGACCCACCATTTACCAAATGGCCCAGTTGTATGGGCTTGATTTGACAATTATACTGACACAAACATGAGTATTTTTTTTTTTTTGAAATAACATGAGTATTTCGTTTAATTATAAATGTTTTTTTTTTTCTTTGTAGACATTATAATTATAGAACGTAATAAGTAATATAGGAGAATGGTAAATAATTTTCAAATTATTAACTTTAGATTTGTACTCCCCCGTCCCTAAATTACATTTCTAATTCCAGCATTTATTCCTCATATAATAAAGGAAAGTAAGAATGTAATTTAAGGACGGATAGAGTAGCGGATTAATCCTTAAGGGAAAAAAAATTGCTAAAGAAAAAGGATTGTAAATATATTTTCATGCTAAATTCCAGTGCATGACTGATAGATATTATATTTACGATAATATTTGTCGCAGATTAGGATAATATTGTATATTTTTTTGATATACTTCATATCCTTATCATAATAGGATTACGACCCTTGTAAACCCCTATATATATTATTCAATGGTACACACTCCAATATAAGGAGTTTTCCCGAAATCTAGCATGGTATCAGAGCTTAGGTTTTAGATCTCAATTTTGTTTTTCCAAACTCTTTGGTTTTTTTTTCCTCTGTTCTCTTTTTTTCCTTTTTTTTTTCCAGATTACCTTTAAGTTCCCTTTCCTTTTTGTTTCCAGTTCACTGCTCCATTGAGTTTAAATGGCCAAGGATAATGAAACACCTCCTCTGCCACCTCCGCCACCTACTACGACGGAATTTCACCCTGCCTTGGCAGTGAGCAACATAAAGAATGCCATACCCCTTGTTCTTGACTATGAGAAAGTACAATACTCCAATTGGGTGGAGCTATTTGAGAATCATGCTTGTGCGTATAATGTGTTAGATCACATAGACTCAACTATTTCACGGCCGACGGATGTATCAGACTCTTTGTGGAAGCGCCTCGATGCTATTGTCAAGTAGTGGATATATGGCACGATCTCTACCGACCTTCTCAATACGATTTTAGCCCCAAAATCGACTGCTCAACAACTATGGGATCCGTTAAAGAAATCTTTCAAGATAACAAGAACACTAAGGGCGTCTATCTTGAAAATCAATTCAATTCGCTTCATCTAAGCAACTTCCCTAGCGTTATGGCATACTGTCAACAACTTAAGAGCCTTGCTGACTAGTTAGCCAACATCGAACAACCTGTGACGGAGCAAAAGCTAGTAATCCGCCTTGTTTCCGGCCCAACAGGCACCGACTTTGATACGGTTGCTACCATGATTCAGCAAACCGATCCTCTACCTTCGTTCAACACAACAAGATCGAGACTACTTCTTGAGGAATCTCGGCGAGCGAACGACCACAATTCATCTCCTTCTTCCTTTGTCGCACAATCGGAACTCTCTGCGAATTCCGGGCAGCAGCAACCACAGCAGCAGTCGTCGGTTGGCCGGGGTACAGGTGGCGGCGGCAAGGGACGAGGTGGCGGCGGTAAAGGCCGGGGTAAAGGAAAAGGCCGAGGTACACTAGTCGGGGTTCTGGACAGCAACAGAGTCCGCAACAACAAGGCCAACAACCTTCACAGACATGGCCCCAACAACCCACTCCTAATGGGCAGCCGTGGGTCCAACAGCCTCCCTGGCCCAATCAGCATCAACAATTTTGGCAGCCTCAAGGTTGGGCCATTCCTCCAGCGCCTTTCCCCACTAATGGGGCCTATCAGGCTCGGCCCAACCCTGGTTCGGGTCGCGGTTTGTATTCTCAGCAGGCCTACGCTATCGGTCAGCCCCAATACGGCCTGCTTATGACCCCCACGGAGTTCGGGAGTGCATATTCTTTGATGGGTCTTTCCAGTCCGGATAATGGGTGGTACATGGACTTGGGTGCTACATCTCATATGACACATAATTCTGGTAATCTCTTGCCCCTTTTTAATTTAAGCACGAATAATCATATTTTAGTTGGCAATGGTCATCGTATTTCAATTACTGGTTATGGTCAAACTACTTTACCCCATAATTCCCTTGATTTAAAAGATGTCCTCCTAGCCCCTCAAATTATTAAAAATCTAATTTCAGTCCGTAAATTTACTTCTGATAATTCGGTTTCTATTGAATTTGACCCTAATGGATTTTCTGTGAAGGACCTTCGCATGGGGAGGGTAATAACGAGATGCAATAGCACCGGGGACCTTTATCCTGTCACCTCAAGCTCACCAAGCACTTGCCTAGCCACTACTCTCACTGCAGCTACCCCGTGGCATGATCGTTTGGACATCCTGGGCCTTCCTCTCTAAGTCTTAGGAGCAATAATTTCATTACTTGTAATAAGGAGCATGACTCCACCTTTTGCAATTCATGTCAGATAGGGAAACATGTTAGACTTCCGTTTTATGATTCAAATAATACTACTTTCTCTGTTTTTGATATTATTCATGCTGATTTATGGACATCTCCTATTAGAAGTGTTAATGGTCATAAATACTATTTAGTGCTTCTTGATGATTTTACTCATTATGTGTGGGCCATTCCCCTAGCCTATAAATCTCAAGCCTATCCATCCATTCTTCACTTTAGACAATATGTGCAAACTCAATTTGAACGTCCTGTTAAATCTTTCCAATGCGATCACGGTCGCGAATTTGACAATGACCCATTCAAAAAATTTTGCCTTGATAATGGTATGGTCTTTAGATTCTCTTGTCCCCACACGTCCTCCCAAAACGGGAAAGCCGAACGTATGATTCAGACCATAAATAATATCAACCACACTCTCTTGTTCCATGCCTCATTGCCCCCTTCCTATTGGTCACATGCTCTAGAGACGGCCACTTATCTTCTCAATATTTTGCCTACTAAATCTCTAAAGGAATTAACCCCGACACAAGCTTTGTTTCATAAAAACCCCTCTTATGACCATTTACGGGTTTTCGGTTGTCTCTGTTTCCCTAATTTGTCTGCTACAGCTCCTAATAAGCTTGCCCCTAGATCCTCTCCTTGTGTTTTTTTTTTGGGATATCCAACTAATCACCGTGGTTATAAATATCCAATCCTATATCATAAGTTCATAACAATAAGGAAATGTTGAATTTTCTTTTTTGCAGAATCTAAATGGAGTTATGAATAATTTCATACATGTCATTTGATTACTTTACTGATAATTTTCACAAGTCCATATAGAATTTGAGAGATGTAAATTATAAATAATATGCATTTCCACCCATCAGGCCATCACGTACAACTATACAAGTATATGTGAAATCGCAATGTCTAAAGTTCAAACAAGTACATCTTAAAATTTTATGGAGTATCTTGCGAAGCCCAATCATACTTGAAGAACACGTAATAATACTCCCTTTATTTACGTCAATTGCCATTGTTTACAATTTCAAATGTTTCTTATTAATCGCTACACTATTTTTTTTTAAACAACTATTACACTTTATATTTGAATTACATTATCTATAATTGTTTTACTATTTATTTTGTATATTACTCCGTATTCATAACGCCCATCTTCACCCTATAATCTCTAAAAACTTAGTGCTAATTCTAGTGTAGCGATTATCATTTAGGATTTTTTTGGTTGAATTATACAAAAATGAGTAATGCAGGTGAAATTAAGAAAATAAATCCTAAGTACATACAGACTTTGTCTGAATAGAATAATTATAAGAGAATAGAAACATCAAGATAATTTTAACTAAGCTAACTTTTTTCCGATTAAGGATTATAAACCGTAGAATAATTAAGCTAATTAAACTCTTAGCCTTAACACGTAACACCATAAAACTTTAAAAATATAAGAAGTGAAGCAAGTTGGTAGTGAGAGAAAGAAAGAAAAGAGAATTACGAGGTGTAATTGTTTAAGAGAAAATAAAAATCTTGACTATTTTGGCCCTTAATATATGTCAGGTTGTCAGAGCATATTCTCACTCTCCCATAAAAACATTTCATCAACCTAATTAAGCTTAGTCTAATACTGTAGTTAACAACTAATTAAGGTTATTACTTGTACTAACTTATTTGTAGTAAGTAACTACTTTAACTATTCTTCTTAATGATACTAGTTGTAGTAAATTTTTTAACTACTACACCAGTACATATTTATTTTAACAGTTAGTAAATGGCTCATATTTCAATGTCACTTTGCTGTTAAGAAAAATGCTTCTGTTATGCTAAACTGCTAAAGGTGCTCCATTTTTATACAAGTACTACCATTTTTATGAAAATTTTGCACTAGCAAGAGTTGTAACAACCTGTGACACCAGAAATGTACTTGTATAGGTATGTAATACTTTGACATAAGACTACTACATTTTCACCAAAAAAAAAGTGTTTGTTAAAGAAAGAAGTGCCTAAATGTTAAATTTAGACAACAATTCCGATACTAAGGACCTATTCTCTTCAGCTTATTTCCAATTCAGTTTAGTTTCTATTTTCTTTCTCTTATAAAGTATTCAGTTTAGCTCCAGTTCAGTTCAACTCAGCTCAATTCAGACCCTAAGAGGTTTGAGTGCTTTATTAGAATACTCTATAATGCTATTGCTAAGAATACTCTATAATGCTATTGCTAAGAAGTAAGAACTTGCAATGAGCTAGAGTTTAAGTCCTTTATTAGCATGTTTAAAAACAACATGCTAAAAGAACTTAACAAGCTCATGCCTAAAGTTTTTTTGTTTTTTTGTTTTTTTTGTTTTTGTTTGTTTGTTTTTTTTTTTTTTTTGAAAAATGCTATATATAGCTCTAAGGGCTACATATAAGCATTTATTTTACTCTTGAAAATTGTTTAAATTTAGAAAATCATGACAAAAACACACTAATTACACCGATCCGCGTGTGTTTTTGTCATGAATTTCTAACTTTATACATTTTCCAAGAGTAAATTCAATGCTTATATATAGCCTTAAGGGCTATGTATAGAATTACCTTTTTTTTTTTTTTTTTTTTTTTTTTTTTTTTTTTTTTTACCTTGCGAGTTAATGAAAAAAAAAAATCCTTTAATTACAAAGGACAAAGAGTTCACTCCTACATTCCTATTCTATTCATTCAATTAATGTCTCAAAAATCTCTCTTTGTTACAAAATATTTTGTATTTTAAAGAGATCTCTAATAGTTTCATTATATATCTTCTTGAAGAGGAGGGTAGGAACAGTACATTAAATTTAATACAACTAAATTAAGTAGCACATTAAATTTACATGCTTAGGAACACTTATATTCTCACCATTTTTGAGTATTACATTTATTTTTTTCAAGCAGGAGAGGTGGGTGACAGTATCATACCCCTATAATTACATGCTAATAAATTATATCCCCTTATTGGGTATTACCCCATATCTTAAAATAAAATATAATCACATAGATTAATTAAAAAAAATTAAAATATAATAATAAAAAATAATTTTAAAAAATAAAAAAAATAAAAGTCATCCAAGTATAGTACAAGTACACTAGCACCCATGAGCCAAAATCTAAACCTCTAACACTCTGACTCTCTCTTTCTCTCTCTTCCTCTTGAGCTGTGACAACTTTTTGTCAGTGTTTTTGACTCCTCTTTTCTCACAAACCTCTATTGAGTGACCAGTCCATATTTGTGATCTTATATAGATATAGTTTCTTACTGTACATTTCTTTGTTTTTCTTTGCTACATTACATGACTCTTTTTGATGTTACATTATGTCATCTTATCTTACTTGTATGTTGTTATTATTAGTTTGCATGCCCATATCACATTCTGTTTATGTCACGTTTAACTGCGGAGTTGTGATGAGGTCCGGGGCATTAGTAACGGTTAATGTTGATTAATCGATAACAGAACACAGCAGAGGAAATAAAAAGGGGAAAAAAAACAGAGTTTTTTCTCGAGCCCCTTGCCACCCTTACCGAGCTTTGATTCTTCCTGCTACCCTCTTTCTGTTTCTCTCTCCTCCTCTACTATTCCTATTTCCCTCCCTAATTTTCTCTCTCTTCTTTTTTCCATCTTCTTCTTCTCCTGTATTTCTGCCAAAGTAAAAAAGAAAGAGAGAAAGAAAAACTAGCAGAAACTTCAAGTCTGTATAATTCCTCTGTTTTTTTTTTTTTTTTTGGTTTTTTTTTTCTACTCTCATTTTTGAGTTTGTGTAAAGTTTTAATTTTTTGAAATTATTAAGCTTGTATTTTGCAAAATTAGGAAAAAAAATATGAGTTTTTGGAGAACTTTTACAAGAATGAGTTTGCTTCTCTTAAACCCCAGTTGAGTTAAAGAGTGTTCCAAACAAGACAAAAAGAAAAAAAACACCATTTTTGGAAGAACCTCCAAAAAAAAAAAACCCTAAAGTTTTCATCTTTTTTACAAATTAATGATAAAAAAGAAGAAAAAAGGGGACTAAAATATGGTGCACATTCCTCCAAAATTCCACCTTTTTTGATTTTCTTCTTCTTCTTCTTCTTCTTCTTTTAAAACCTACCATTTTTTTGTTCTTTTATATAATTTCTCTATTTCCAACTTTCAATTTCTTAAAACAAAAATGGGGTGTGTAGCCTCAAAATTAGAGGAAGAAGAAGTGGTTTCAATTTGTAGAGAAAGAAAGAAGCTAATGAAATTAGCAGTAGAAAAAAGGTATGCATTAGCAGATGCACATTGTAGGTACTGTCATTCACTATATGCTGTTTCAGCTGCTATTAAGCTGTTTGTTGCTAGACATTCAACACCTTCTTCACCATTTTTAATCACTTTCCCACCTCCTAATTGCTCTCCTTCTTCCCAAACCCCGATACCGGAACCCGAAAAGGTCATCACAAACCCCATGTTTCTGCAACAGAACCACCCTTCTCAGCCTACAACCACCACCCAAGAAGCACTCCCCTGTTGTGAATCCCCTGTTTCTTCCTCCTCGTGTTCCTCCGATTCTTCTTCGGAGGAACATTTAGAGGAAAGAACCAGCAGACAACAGCAGAACCAGCAGCAACAACAGCAGAATCAGCAGCAGCAGCAGCCGCCTTATGAGTATTATTACATGAGTAATATGAGTATGCCAATGTCAATGTCAATGCCACCACCAATGCCATCCCCTCAAAGGGATTATGGTGGGTGGGATTTTTTTAACCCCTTTGCCGGGGTTCGGAATGATGTCATGGATAGTAATGTTAGTGTTGGGGGTGGTTTCAGAGGCGGGTTTCAACGACACCCGGATGATGAATTGAGGGCAGTGAGGGAGGAAGAAGGGATACCTGAATTGGAAGAGGAAAATGTGGGTGTGAGGGAGGATGTGAGTAATGTTGTGAGCAATGTAGTGGAAGAAAACAATGGTTGTGGCAGTAATGGTGGCGGGCGAGGCGAGGGGAATGTAGAGCAAATGGTGGGAGGTGGAGGAGGTGATGTTGTTAAGACAATGGGTGGTGGAAATGTGAGGGAAAATGAGAAAGGGTTGACAGTAATTGATACACCAGTTAGAGGAAGAGAGTTGTTGGATGCTTTGAGAGATATTGAGGATCATTTTGTTAGGGCTTTTGATTCTGGTAAAGAGGTTTCTAAGATGCTTGAAGCTAACAAAATGCATATGCAATCTGGTCTTGATGAAATTAAAGGTAGTAATTTTTATTTATTTTTGGATTTTGTGATTGAATTTGTTAGCATTCTTTGATTAATTGGATAGAAAAATAAATAATGGTATGTGTTGAATTATATTTATCTTGGAAATTATGATAGATTTTAAATCCCTGACATTATTTGCTGCAATTATATAAAAATTTCAGTAAAATTGAAAGATCTTAGCTAGGAATAGGAAAATGTGGAGATTTGTATTACTGGATATAGCTTTATTCACTGCTTTAGAAGCATGTGAAGTTAAAGTGCTGTTCTTTCTATTCTTTGTGCTAAAAAGTTGCTCACTAGGTCCCTGCTGTTAAAATGCAGAAAACTCAACAAAACTGATTCAGGCTATTACATGGCACCGATCGAATACAGCAAGGTCTGCATCTTGTAAGAGTTTAGTAGCGTCAAGTTCTAAGAACTCCTCTTCATGGACGGAGTATAAGAATGATCTCTTTGACGATTATGGTGGCATGTCCGCCGGAAGCCATTCGCTTACCCTTGGAAGGTTGTATGCTTGGGAAAAGAAGCTCTATGATGAGGTCAAGGTAAAGAATCTAAATTGGAAAATTTCCCTTTTAATGATAGATACCTGGATGTTTGAACACAATCATTTTTGTTTGAAAACAGATTATATGAAAATTTTGCCAAAAAGTTTTGAGAAGTTTAGATGGTAAATTTGATAGGATAAAGTGTAGATTTTCATAATTCTTTTGATCTGTGTTTGTTAGGCTGGAGACAACATCAGAAAGTTGTATGAAAAAAAATGTGCACATTTGAGAAACAAAGATGTTAAAGGGGATGACTCGTTATCAGTTGACAAGACCAAAGCATCAGTGAAAGATCTCTACTCCAGAATTTTGGTTGCCATCAGACGAGCCGAGTCAATCTCTGAGCAAATTCAGAAGCTTGCAGATGACGAGCTTCAGCCACAGATTATTGAACTCTTGCAAGGGTAAGAAATCCACCCCCCTGAACCCAAAAATACTGAATCCTGTAGTGGATTTTCTCATTTCTCTGTGTGCTTATTGTCCTTTCTTGCTCTGCAGTTTAACTCAGTCGTGGAAGATTATGATGGAATCCCATGAAACACAGAACCACATAATCTATGAGGTTAAGACCTTTGACTGCCCAACATATGGAAAATTCTGCAATGACTCGCACCGGCTTGCAACCCTGCAGCTTGAGGCCGAAATTCAGAACTGGCGGGAATGCTTTGCAGAGTATGTTGCTGCACAAAGATCTTATGTTGAGACTCTTCATGGATGGCTGTCCAAGTTCATTGTCCCAGAGGTTGAATATGGCTCTAAGTCCAAGCGTTTTAACCCACCTCCATATCGAGCTAAAGGTCCTCCCATGTACATGATATGTCGTGATTGGCTAACTTCCATGGAAAATTTGCCTGACAAGGCTGTTTCTGTGGCAATGAAGAGTTTTGTAAGGGATGTGAGGGCATTATGGGTTCAGCAAGGGGAGGAACAAGAGCAAAAGAGAAAAGTTGACAAAATGGCTAAAGAACTAGAGAAGAAGATGATTGCATATCAGAAAGTCGAGGGGAGAATTCAGGAGACTACTAAGCTTTTAGAGTATAATCCTTCAGAAAAGGATGCAGAGAGTCAAGAAGATACCCAACAACAACATCAAGCTGATTCTTTAGCAGAGAAGAAAGATGCATTGGATAATTTCAAACGTCGATTGGAGTTTGAGAAGGAGAAACATCACAATTACATGGAAGAAACTCAAAGGATTACTTTAAATGGATTCCAAAGTGGATTCTCTTTGATTTTTGATTCCATGGTGCACTTCTCAAAAGCTTCACTAAAAATGTATAACGACTTGGTGAATGACCGGCAAAATTTTGAGAAGGGTGAACAACAGTCAAGCTTCCAAGAAGGTTCCTATGTCAATGAGCACCTTAAGTAAAAATGAGCCGAGGTTGGGTGAAAAGACCTTGAGTATTTTAACAATCAAGGATTCTAGAGTCAGTTTGTACATTAGACTTGCATCGAAGCAGCTCGCTGAGGTGCAGGTTTAGAGTGATTATTAGTTGTTTGCCGTAGGATTGTTTTATTTTTGCCACGTAATTGATAGGAGTGGTGATTGCCCACAATTTTGCTGTAAGACAAAAGAATTCCTGATGTTCACATGTATCTTTGGCCTAGTAATTTTAGGTTGTTTGTGGATCCAGGAATTGTCAGGTGGGCATTCTTTGTATGTGTATGTAGTACATCTTGGCGTTTTACGGTTTTAGTACAAATTGTTACCATCCAACTTTATCAGTGCAACCATACTGTGTGTCTAGGATTATGATACGTAACAGAAAGTTTATCCACCAATCCAACAAGATTCATAACGGTTCAAATCAAAATCAAATGACTACGAAAAACAGGACTATATGGATCGTATTGACCCATTTGCACCCTCAAGGTTCTAGTCGTCTAAGACTCGGCTAAGATAATGTCAACCAGCATAGACAAAGACTCAGGTGAAACGTAAAACCGTTAACATTCTTATTCTTAGAGAAGGCTCAGGATCCAAAAGGGAAAAAAGGCAGACCTTTTCTTCTCAAGGACCATTCTACTAACACATCTGAAATCATTGAGAAAATATCCCAGTAGCAATAACGGGGGCAAATCATTGGGAATCAAAAGACTCAAAACAGCAAGACAACAAAGTTGAAACACTCCTTTCTTTTTTTACTGCCTGGTAAAAAAACTAAGTGTGGAGTAAAACTTTTGCTTCACCCAAAGCTTCAGAGTTTGTGGTAAACAGAGGAAGATTGAAGGTGGTCAGATGGTTCTTGGGTTTTCCTAGGTAAAGAGAGGGTCAAAGTTCACATGACTAAGTTGGGTAACCAAGAAATTAGAAATGTTTTTCTTATCATAAGATAATTGGTTTTTAACAATATTTGAAACAAAACAGCTATCCCTAACTCCCTAAAGCAGAGGAAACATCTCTCTTTTTTTAATTTTCTCTTCTAATTTGAATAACAGAATCAACATACAGTTTCTAATTTATAATCCTTTGGCGCACAACCAGATTCGAGTAAGCTTACTACAAATCTCATGCCTCAGCAATGCAGTTCAAAACCGTACGTTTACATAATGAGGCTGATATTCATTATCCTGCACTCTATAACGCTTATAACTCACATGATGACAGACTTTTCATGCACAAAAGTTCTAGTATGTAATAAGTAAGAAATCCATAGTATTTACTATAAATAATAAGAATTTCTGCTACATTTCCTTTGTACATAACATACGCTACACATCCTAAAAATGCAAGGATATGTTCGAGCAAAAAGTAAAAACTAGAAGTCTGTAATTTTAAACTGCAAGGCATAATTACAACTTTGTTAGAGCCTACCTAAGATATAGAGAGACCAAAAACTGGGAGAGGATGACAAATTCACTGATAACTGCAGCGGGAGAGTGCAAACCAAGAAACGGAACAATATCTACCTGCAGCCAGTTTTCAACAGCTGAACCAACAACTGCACCAGCAACAAGTCCACCCGCGGTTATCAGAGTTGCTTTCCCTGAAAATACACCAACTTCCAATCAATACTTATAATAACCACACATGAAATAAGTATAGTATGTACTCCGTAACATTCAATAACAACATGAAGGATGCATTCCCTATAAGCTTAAATAGTTTCAATTGTAATCATGTTCTTGATAAAATCCAGATAATTCCCTAACAATTAGGTAACTACAGCTTTACAAGGGCAAGAGAATATTTTCAATAGTGTCCTAAACAGCTAAACCGATGTTCAACATGTTCAATTAAAAAATTTAGGACAATTTGCCCCTTGTTAGTTCCCCAATGGCCCAATCATCCCTAACTAGTAAGACAAATAGGCTACTTAATTTTTAATCCAAAAACAACAAATGCTTTGGGAACAACATAATGGTAATTGGGTTCAACTGGAAAGATGTGGGCCAAGTTCCCCAACATCAATTTCTTAATGTGCTTTCTTTCTTTTTAGAGATGAGGTAGGTAATGCAGCACCAACAAAAGAAATCTCCTTTATTCTTTCTTGAATTATTTTATATAATTCTGTGCTGCATTGCATCAATTATGTTGACCCTTCATTACAACAATCCAGAAACAGGTGACTTAGTCTCAAGGTCTTACCCTCCAAATGATAATGGGTCTTTGAAAAAATGTTTTCAAATGAATCTAGAACAAGATATTAGTTACATGTGTTGCAGAAGAGTATAACAGTTACATGTGTTGCAGAAGAGTATATCAGCTACATGAATGAAATTTGAGAGTTAAAAGTCACAGTGAGCCATACCTAACTTCACATTCTTTTTCGTCATGAAATATAGGGATGCTCCAAAACTGGTAGCTAGGATAAACCCCGGAACATCTGCCCCAGCCACAGCTCCAGCAGATGATGACGTTCCATTGATATAGGTCAAAACCATCATTGCGCCATAAACACCAGCCTGTAGTCCCAGGTCTGATGCAGCAGGCGTTTCAGCTGTAACAGAAGAACCTTTCATTGATGATTGGAGCCACTGAGGCATCGTCCCCATACTAGGAGAGTTAACAGGTTTAACATCAGCAAAGCGAACACTGTTGTTAACAACTTTTCCAGCTCGGCGCTGTGTTAAGCTCTGCATGAGCAACATATCATATGCAGCTTCTACCTATAAAAACATGAATTAATAATCTCAATTATGGGTTATAATAGACAATTGCGGCAAGACATGTAAGGGACTCATAAGGCATAAGCTAGGTCCTTGTTCAGTTTACCTGACTAACGATAAGCAGGCGAGTATTTTCAACTTAGTTCAAACAAGTCACAGTAAAAAGTTAAAAACAAGTCCAGGTGAATTGACAACGGCTTCCATATTTATTTTGCATCTAAAAAGTGTAGTTTAGAAAGAAGTTTTCAGGCGAAAAGAATGAAGCCTGAATGTCTATGAGGAGCAACATCAAGGAAAGTTGGTCATGCTTATAGTACTGAGCCAGTGCCAAAATCAACATCAGTCACTCAGGTGGTTGGACTGTTGGAGAAGTGGGTAGAGAGAGGATGTAGTGTTCTGCTACAACATTATGGTAACAGGATTAAGAAAATCTAAACAGATAAACCCAATTATTAGTGGTCCAATATAATAAACCCAAGTATAGAAATATACAGTACAATAAGCATCCAAACTATCAATTTCATTAGTTGGGTTTGTGGTTTATCTATATTAATTCTTTCTGAAATAAAAACCCCTAGGCAATGAGTGGAAACACATTACGCTAAACATTCATGCACTATCTCGTATGGAAAGGAGAAACATCTATAACATTCATCGCCGTCTCACAAATTAATAGCCCAAAAGCAAGAAAATGCCCCCACCAATACCAATTCTTTATTTTGTTTTCATCACCACCAAGCACCTGAATCTAGTTTCTATTATCTAATTAGTTAGCCACAAAGCCCTCCACTCTCTAAACCAAAACCAAAAATTGAAACATGTTTCATTTCCTAGCTACCTGGCTAAGGATTACCTAAAGAAACATCAACTAAATCGGATTAAATCAGAAATCTTTGAGTCAACAAGATGAGGAAACCAAAGATCATCTTGTTATAAAAAGACAAATATATCTCCACCACTCTCCACATAGCATATTACATTATCACTTCATCAATGAACTCGAGAAGCATTATAGAAAGTTCCATAGCAACTCATCACAAAAACGGCGAAATCAAGTACTACTTCCAAGCTCTCTGTAGAGAAAATCAGAATAATCAAGTACTACTTCCAAGCTTTGTAGAGAAAATCAGAATCTAGCTCGCCTCATCTCAAAAGAATTTTATCACAAAAATGGCAAAATCAAGTACTAACTGAATTTATGCAATATACCACATCAAAGATCACAATCCATCAACAATTAACAACCACATACACACTCCCAAAACATCATCCTCAAAATATAAGGAGCAAAAATCCATCATCATCATTGAAACTATCAAACTAATCAAATGTAACAAAATTAAAACTAACTATGATCAACTTAATCCAAAGAAAACCCAGAATCACAAAAACATAATCCAATCATCCAAACAACAAATTATAAATGAATCCAAATACCCAAATCAATAAGTTACTCAAATAACAACATAAATTAAACAAGAAAAGAAATTGAAATAGTAAAGGTGCTGAAAAATTTACACTTGTTAAACCTGAGCAACAGTTTGAGGGTCATCTTTACAAGAATCTATGATTGAATTTTTGGCACGCAAAATATCATCAAAGGAAGCTCCTTCCGAAACACCCAGAAGCTTCAAAGCGTTCTCCACAGACATCCCAAACGGGGCTGAATCGTCGGCCCGAGACCCGGCCCGAACCAAGGTGGTGCCCGGTGCTAAGGTCCGACGAGAAGTTATAGAGACGGCCCAACAACGTCTGGGCCAACTGGGCTGGGCCGTGGTGCGATGAAATCCGGGGCTAGTGGGCCGCACGGACAGAGAAGCTGACATTTTTGGTGGTGGATGTTTTTGGCCAGAGAAATTTTGTGAGGCTATAAATATAATTTTTTTTTTTTAATTTTATGTTATTATTTGTTTGTTTGATGAATATAAAAAGGTTGATGAATATTTAAAAATAAATATAAAAAATTGTTGGGATTTGATTGCAAACAATGTAGTTTTGTTTTGGATATTGTTGGTTTGATGATGGTTGAGTGTTGTGAGAGGATTCTGCTATACAAGTGTTTGTGTGTCTGAGAAGGGAGAAGAGATAAAAATATAATGGTGGTCAGTTTCAGCTTATTTCTTTGTGGACCAGCAAATGAAGTATAGTTGTGGATTTTTATTTTTTTTTATTTTTTTAAGATGGTAATTGGAATTAAAATTTTGGTTCATGTGGCCGATTATATCCTTTTGGGGTAAAGGTTTTGACATTGTTGTTGTTAGTGGTAGTGCCATTGACTCATTGTATTTTAACTATTTTTTTTTAAAAAAAAAATGAATAAAGAAAAAAAAAAATCAAAATTTGTGATTTTTTTTGTTTTTTTTTTTTTTTTTCACTTTTTGTGTGATTAGAAAGAGTCCAAGTTGCTTAATTTAGTAGAACTAGTCTAGAAAATGAGGACAAGATTGCTTTGAAGGAAAGGCTAAAATAGCCCAAAATGCAAGGTATTCAATCATTCTACATTTCTAGGCATTAAGGATTAACAAATTGACAAGAATGAGGGGTGATAGATTTCTCTTTAGTTTGGGGGTATTTTGGAGTTTTCAATTGTCTGTTTAGGATGATACTTATGAGGTGGCCAGGTGGGGACATCTTTAGGTGAATAATAATACCATTGCAATTTTTTCCCCCCTTTAGCTTATTTTTAAAAATGTAGCCCAATAGTATTTTTATAGTATTTTTAATATTCTTAAATTAAATCAATACCTTTTGACCATATACAAAGTAATTATATTTATAGATCTTTAAAGTTACAAGTATGCATTGACTAGTATAAAAATATAAGCGTATGAAATCCATAAATTCACTCAAGGATTGTCAATCTTAAGGGATATTGAATCATTAATTCAAAGTTATCATTTCTCCTTTTTATACCATATTACCATGTATATTTCTAATATGACAACTTATATTGTGTTTGTGCTTGTAGTGTGTGTATACTTTTGACATTAATATAAAACATATATAGTAACTACTAGTAATTAAAACTAATTTGACCTGATACCTCAAATGTATACATTAAGAAAAACCCGTAGCATTTTATGCAGTAATATTTGATTTAATATACTCCAAATTAATTTGAAATTATGATAATTTTTTTTTTTCACTGTCAAAAGTTAAAATGATGTATTTAATCTGACATGTAGGCAATACTAAATTGCTCCTCTACACCACTTAACTGTCTTAAGGCTCTAATGAATGAAATTAGTGATTCATGAGCAGTATACATCAGTGGTGAGGATTGAAGGAAACCAACATAACATGACATAACAATTATTTATTTAAAACAAAAAAAAGTGTTCATATAAAAAACTAAAAAGTATTCATCTGAAAAAAGAAAAGAAAAAAAAAAGATGTTGTCTTGCTTGAAAATCACCCCTTTATTTGTGTCAAATTCATGTAAACATAACAGGAGTAGGAGATTTAGTTGCAGGGCAGAAAGTTCCCAAAATCAGGGCCCACAACCCAAAGAAAGCAAGAAGAGGGTTTTGGTTGTTGGGTCGGGTTGGGCTGGGCTTGGTGCGGCCCATCATCTCACTAAACAGGTCTTTCTCTCTCTTAATCTTCTTCATTGAGTGACACTTTGACTTGTTTTGTGTTGAGTTTGATGGATTTTGGATTGTGATCAATTGAATTTTCAGGGGTTTGATGTTACTGTTCTTGAAGGGGGTGTGGAATCTGGGTTTTCTACTTATACTCCTGATGAAGTTGGAATTCAAGGTATCATGACAGAGTTGTTTGATTGTTTATTTGATTGGCATTTCTGCTATTGCAAGTTGTTGCACTGTCCAAACTTCTCAGGATTGTTTTAGGAAAGGCGACAACTTTTTCTGGGTATCCTTCAAATACAATGAATAAGTTGCAATTGATCCTAGACAAATGGAGGGAGAACTAGGGACTAGGGAGTACATTGATAAGTATAATTCTATGCACAAATCTTGTGTATAAATTGCATAAAAATAATGTACTTTGGAACTGTATTATTGTTTAAAGTCGAAAATTGGCTAATGCAACTTGACAGTATGCACATTATTTTGTGTATTTAGGGTAATAATTTTGCATTTAAGGAACAATTCCTGTGAAATTTTGCAATATCAGAATTGATCATTGCAGTCAGTCAGCCAGAATATAAGAATGCCAACCAAATAAACCCCTAGGGTGTTAAATTGAGAGAAATATTCAAATTGTTGGTGATTTAATATGATATTGTCCATATTAGGGAGGGGCTTAAGGATTAAATTGTCTAGCTATCCTGTTGGATGATGTTACATAATACCTTCTCGAGCCTAGAGTGTTGTTGATTTCAGGTTTTTGGTACCCCTACCGCAATATATTTAGCCTTGTTGATGAGCTTGGCATCAAACCATTCACAAATTGGTTGAAATCTGCACAGTACTCTGAGGAGGGATTGGAGGTACTACTGCTGCCACTTTTTCATGTGTTTACATATATTACACCAGAAACTGTATTAGTTTTTGCAAGGGAGGTTTAAACTATCTGAGGCCAAAATGGACTAAATGGTTAGTCAGACCAAATAAACTGGATATGTATACATATTCGCGGCTTCAGTCATGTAATCATCTTCTTTGATCACTCTTTGATTGCTCTGCAGGTGGAATTCCCAGTCTTTCAAGATGTGCCTCAACTGCCTACTCCACTGGGACCTCTAACACAGACCCAAGTATGTTTCAAAGAAGCTGCTATAATATAATTATTGAGAAAATAAAGTTTCTGATTGCATTATGGTGGACAATGCTAAGTTTCACACTTTCAACGCTATTATCTGCAGTTCACGCGGCTACCTTTGGTGGATCGATTGACATCACTTCCTCTATTGGCTGCAGGTAAAGGTCGTTTTGATATGTTGATACAATTACTGTGTGATAGTGTGATGAATGGTGTAGCTGGTTTCCAATGCTAAGTAATGCATCAGGTTTTTGTTTTCTTAAGTACCTTCTTTCTTGTAGTTTTCAATGGAGAAAAGGTTAAGAATTTAAAATCTTTATTGCATTTTGTAAGGCGATGAAAAACTTATTAAAATTCCGTTTCTCACTAAGGAGAATCCTAAATAGCATTGAGATAGAATTCAATCTTGATCTGAGACTGGTTTAAGAACAGTATCCGTCTACTAATTTAACAAGATGTTAATCATTAGCCAACCAATCAGCTGCACAATTTTCTTTCTGCAAAAACGTGTTTGATATTATATCTGTTGGAATCTAGTCAACAAAATTCTTATATCCGCAACCAAAATTTGCTTTTTTCATTGCATTTGACTTCTATGTATATCACATATGTTTTGCAGTGATAGATTTTGACAACACTGATTCAGCATGGAGAAAATATGATCCAAGTGAGAATTACCTTTGGTTCTCTGCAAGTACTAGGAATGTGTTACGATATCTTGTTTCCTTCGCACATGAATATTATAGACTGCTCTCCAGGTGTCTCACTTCGGAGTTTGTATTTTCAACTCAGTTACTGCAAGAGAGCTCTTAAGACAATTTGGATGCTCGGAGAAGCTGTACCGAAATATTTTAGAGCCATTGCTTGAAGCGCGTTTATATGCACCAACTGAGCAAATCAGTGCAGCTGCCACTCTGGCTGTGCTCTACTACTATGTCATTGCTCATCAGGTTTGATTTCTAAAGTTCTATAGAAACAATATGTTATATGCTTATATCCAGAACATGCTAAGCTTGTTGAGTTAGGAAGAACATGATCATAAAATATCAAACATGTTTATTACAAATTTATATTGCTCCTTGTACTGTAATTACTATTGGAACTCAGCTTCTTCTTTCTTTTCTTTTGTTGATGATTTGTTTGTGCTTCTGAACTCTTCTCTGAAATGAGGCAGGAAAATTCTGACAAGTTGCTGTGTCGCGGAAGTGTGAAAGAAAAAATATTTGAGCCATGGAGGGAGTTGTTGAAAAGCAATGGGTGTGAATTTCGTAGAGGCAGAGGAGTTACAGATTTCTTCTTCAGTGAAGAAACAGGTTGTATTTCAGAAGTACTTTGCGGGAATGACAGAATAAAGGCTGATGCAGTGATCTTAGCTCTGGGTATCTCCAACCTTCAGGAAATCATACAAAGAAGGTCTGTTAGATACTCCCATGATCTGAGCTCAGATACATATGCTAAAATGTTTCATTATGAAAGATCTTACTTGGATTTACATCCAGATAATACTTTAGCTGTATATTACAGCATTTGTCTTTTAGCTGTTAAATTACTCCAGTGTTTTTGCAAATTTGACTGAATCGAATTGTTCTGTTTCATTTACTATCTGTACTATAAAGATTTGCAGTATTAATTGTGTAACTGGCTTCCCCATCTTTTTTTAGTTCAGCATTATGTATGAGGGAAGAGTTCCTGAAAGTTCTGAACTTGGCCTGTGTTGGTGCACTTTCTGTTAAACTACGTCTTGATCAAAAGGTACAAGCCACACTATTCCATTCTGTATCAACCTAATTCTTTCTTTTTCAAGTGTGTACCGAGTAGCAGCTCGGATACCCTTCAACTCTATTGTTTCTAGGGCCACACAATTTTAACAGAAATTGAACATACATTACATTCCCTGTTAAACAAGCCTGGGTTATATGGCTTTGAGGTGGAACTTCCGGACTTTATATTTTCAATATGGTACAGCCAGTCCCACTTATGGAATTAAGGCTTTGATTGATTAATTGATTGAATATTGTCAATATGGTATTGTTCTAATGTTCATTATACATCTACCACACTGATTGGTGCTATATAAACTTATGTTCACAGAGACTGATCTCCTTTTTCTCACATGCTGCTAGATTACCATTCCTAAAGCATGCAACGCCTGCTCGGGATTTGAAGCATTAAGTGGGTGGACTTTCTTTGACTTGAATGCTATCTATGAGGAGCATGAAAATGATGAAACGACAATCTTACAGGCTGACTTTGTAAGTATATAACTTAGTTTTCTTTACCACATCTTGAGCAGATACATATTCAGAAAATTAATCTAGTAATATGCATATATTATAGTCTGCCCATGTAATGCTACTTGTTGCAGTATCATGCAAATGCACTCTTGCCCCTGACCGACGAACAAATCTCTGCCAAAGTCATGTCTTTCCTTTCAAGATGCATTAAAGAACTTGCAGATGCTCGAATCATTGACAAGGAGATTAAACGATTTCCAAACTCCTTGACTCATTTTTTCCCAGGTCAGTTTCTGAGCTAAAACTTAGAAGATACTCTGCCCGTAAGTTATAGTCACATACACGGTAAGACAGTAGTACTAGTACAGTGGACAATGGCGGGGAAATAAGTTGTCACATTTCCTAAATTTATTTGGTTTGTGATTGAATTTAATAATATGGCGTAAAAAGATAGAAACAACACAGCAATTGTAAAGGCTCTTACTGTAAGATCAAATGTAATCGATTATTATGATTCATGAGGGGATGAGATAATGTGATTAATGATTCCAACGGAATAAGTTAACAGTGCCCTCTATTTCTACCTTGTTAGAGAAAAGTTTTATGTTCAAAGATTTCCTGTCAAATCAGTCTTGCAATGGCTAATGATTCGTATTTTCTGCTCAATCGATCAAAAGGATCTTACAAGTACTCAATGCGCGGGTCAACTTCTTTCCCGAATTTGTTCATGGCAGGAGATTGGATAATAAACAGACATGGTTCGTGGTCACAGGTATAAAATCCACCACACTTGTAACTCATATGACTACGAGTGATCGAGTATAGGCCATTATATAGTTCTTATTTACTAATCTTTTGGCAGGAGAAATCCTATGTGACCGGACTTGAGGCTGCCAACAGGGTGGTGGATTATCTAGAGGAAGGAAGTTTTGCAAAGATTATTCCGATTAAGGAGGATGAACCTCATATAGAAACACTTCGGAATCTGAACAGAAGTTTAAATGAGTTCAGAGCTCAGCTTCCTTGGTCCAGTTATCTCCTTCAGTGAGAAGATTATACCTACATAGTACTATAAACTAAAATGTTATATACAACCATACTAAGGTCCTGTTTATAAATTCTCTCATGTTTGTCCTGATGTACAGGTTTTAAAGTTCTGTTAATATTTTGTACATGATGTATTCAGTTTATTTTTTAAAAAAAATGTAATGAAAACTGTCGTTTATAATACTGCAGCAATTGATACATATACAGTAAAATAAGCTTTAAGTACTTTTAAGAGTTGAATCATGGGAACGAACATTGCTCAATACTTCGGGAAAAGCTTCTGTTCAAGGTAAGATACAGGCAAACCAGACATACTATACCCACAGCCTTACCTCTGAATGACCCTTGATCATGATACGAACAGTCTTCATCGTAATAAGAAGCAAGAGAGCTTAACGAGCCTTACCATTTCATTAATTGACATCAAAAGGCTAAAAAGACTGGATCTTTCAACTTCATTTGAAATAAGACAATTAAACAACTCAAAGCCATAAAATTGGACATATAACCTTAATCATTACTTCTGACTTCTGTAGTTCCTTGTAGGTTGCCTAGCCTACTTGCCCTGTTGCCGACAATTACATATAAACCATATCCTTATCAATGATGCTTATGTAACATCATTTCTCTCTATTATAATGAAATGAGAGCTTCACTTAACCATTTATTGCGTATTTGAGAAACATTACTCTTAATAACAGAAATAGGAAACAAAAGTACATAAAACAGGAAAAATATTGATCATATAATAATTACCAGAAAAAAGGGAACAAAATCAGAGATCGTATTTCAATTCAATTTCATCCAGCTTTCGATGTTCTTACAACAGTAGGCAAAACAACTTTACTAAGATCAGCAGGATAGGGAGTCCACAACCCGAATCCTCCTCTACTTTCTCTCAAAGCGCTATTTTTCTTGAACTCACTCAAAGACTTCACCCACTCAACCTTTGACGAATGCTCTCGAGTGTGGGGATGCAAGATAAATAGTGCATTATACTCACAATTTGGGAACATATAAAACTTGAATTTATCTTTCAGCCTATAAACAACATAGCCAAAGCTCAACTGGTCTCTTGGTGTGAAGAGATGAACCTCATTGAACCATAAGCAGCTAAATAGATTGTTCATAGCAGTATGCTCCTGGATGATAATTGCTCCTTCAGGCACATCTGCAGAGTGTAAGCACAAGTCAGCAAGAAAATTTTTCTTTAGTAGACAAAACCCACATATAAGGCTAGATTAGTAGATTTCCATTCACAAACTTTGTTGAATTAAACTACAATTTTAATTGAAATTAATACTCGCTCTATCCCAATATAATTTTCACGGTTAATTTTTGAGTTCACAACAAGTGAAACCTTCTTTTCTCCACACATGGACCCTCTCTTTTTTTTCATCATTCTAAAATCATAGATTCCCATCTCTCCCTTTTCCTTAATGATCAAGGCAATGCTTCGATTACATAAGGATATTAAGATGGGAGGAAGTAGCAAAAGTGAAAAACAAAAGAAAGAGAAGTAAACTATAGAGTGCCCATATTTTTGTGTCAAACAGGGAATAACTGCAGTTATATTGTATCTATATAACCAAATCATTAACAGATATGAACTGCTTTTAAGAAAATGAATTACAATAATATAGCTAAAATCATTTAATCATATTTGAGCTATGGTGACGCTCAAAATCATCAAATGACTCAACAAGGGCAAATAAAGATCATGTAAAGTGTATATTTCAATTGATTGATTAATTCAACTGAGTATTTATCTTTAGTCATGAGTGTTTTGAACATATTGCTCATGGCACATATTGAATTAATGAACCCTTTTTCAAAAGTACTCTGCATCAAGGTGTGCAACCAATACAGCATATCCAAAAAGAATCAAATAAAGGTGAAAGACATGACAAGTCTTTTTGGTTTCATCTTACCACTAGGATTTCTTTTCAACGGACTCCAAGGCTCCATTCCTTCGTAATAGTAAATTTTCATATGAAGATCAATAAGTGGTCGAGCATATCGCTTCCTACGCTTGTTTGCATCAGCTTCCTCAAATACATTACGATGATGCTTGTGCTGTGCAATAGCATATGTATTCTTGCCTCGCCACAAGTATCTGCAAATGACAAACAAAAGACTTAAAAGGTGCATCACTAGAATTCCAATAATTTACCACCCCCGCCCTTTTCCAAATCACCACATAAGCAGGCAGAAAGTCTATAGACATGCACAGTGCAATGCAGCCAAATTAAGCATTTAAGGAATGGCATAAAACCTTCAGATTTCATAGTAAATTAACAAACTGCCTTAGTGGATGAGAGAAAGTGATCTCAGATCAGCAGATCAACTAGTTATTGCTAAAGCTCACATCACCAATACAGCTAGATTTTTTTTTTCTTTTAACTAATTATGTTGTAAATTACACTCAAACAAGAACTCCAATTACTTGTTTTCTTTTGGTATTAGCAGAGACCTCTCGATGAGACCTAGTAAACTACTAGAAATGACTTTTTTTTTTTTTTTAAAAAATCTAAAAAGAACTTATGTTTCAAAGAGCCAGTTACTGTATAGTTAGAAAAAAGCTATACCTCTCCAACATAAGTAGTGGATCAACTATAAGCTCCATTTTACCATCAATCCAGATGCTATACTGCGTCTCTGGAAACAATCTGTGTACTAATATTTTAGGAACCTTCCCATTTCTCCTGGGTTCATCGTATGGTTGATGTTTCAAAAGGACAAGACGCCAGATCCCTACCCAATGGCCCCCATCAGTATCCACTCTTACAGAGACATTACTCTTGATGAAGTCAAAGGACTTCTCATCGACCACCATAAGAAAACAGAAGAGCTTTTGTGATCGAGCACTGATATTAGAAGGTTGATGTGGTGTATCATATCCATCAAATATACCGGATGCAACTACAAACCTACACTTCTTGGCATACTCTATATCTTTTGGATCCATATCATCACCACCATTATGCATAAACCCGCAATGGACCTGAAATATAAAGTGTGATCAATAATTGGAAACAAGATCAAAGTTATAAGCTTAAAAATTAATACAATTGACAGAAAATTATCAGTGTCCTTTCTTTATACAATTAAATTCCAGTTATCAGCTCACTTTAGATGCTTCTGTTTTAGCACTGCCATAAAGGGAGAGAAGTCTAAAACCAAAAGCTTTAAAGTTCAAACACCATGCTCTATGCTTCATTTTCTTAGTAATGGATTTTCAAGAGGATATGAAAAGGGAAATGCTTCCAGAAAGCATAGAAAAGCTCCTTGGCCAGAAAATCCACTTAGAAGTTGTAATAACATGGTCCACTGGAGCCTATATATCTGAGAAGTGGCTTTGTATCTTCATTGCTTAAGATAGGAAGCAAAAATGATGAAAAAGAGGATACTCCAACAAAGATCTATCGGAGTAAGATTAGGGCTGAAACCCATCAGTCTCTAGATTTCTGAGTCAATTTGCAAACACCCTCCTCCTCCTCCCCCTCCACCAATAAAAAAAGTTCATACAACAAAAAAACTGAGCAAGCAATAGGGCACCAGTTAAGCTAAGCATCAGTTCTTTAATAAACATCAATCATTTTCCTTTTCATTTAAAGGATTGAAAAAAGGAAATGTTTTGTACTAAAAAACATTTTATCCAAGAAGTGAGCACAATTCACCCAACAAACTAGCATTTATGCATATCAATATAGCTCACCTTCATTTTTGGCTTCAATTTAAAACTATCCTGTCTCTGTGCCCAGCTTATATTCCCTCCAAATAAAGGAGTAGAATTTAATACACTATCTGTTTCTTCATCCTCCACAATATAAGTTAGGTTTTGCACAATGGTATCAGGTGTCTTCACCTTTGGTATAACTATTGCATCAGGGTCATCAGCCACAGGTATAGAACAGCCTAATAACAGAAGAACATGCCAATTAAGTTACTGCCAAGTTAATAATTAAACAAACTCCAATAAGATGGTCAGACACTTACGATGTGGTGGTCTTGGTACAAATCCCATTGAGTCTAGCATGATAAATACTTTTCCCTCTCTATTACACATAGCTGCACTTTATACAATAAAGGACTCAGCAAAATATGAAGAAAGGGAAAGCATGGTTATGAAAATACCAAGGAGAAGCCAACACATGCTCCATTTAACACATTTGTTGTGTTAAAGTCAAACAAAACCCCACCTTCCCCTTCAAATGTAAGTCCTATGCAGTTTTTTTTGAACTTTGCATGCAAGCTAACACCTTTCCTAAAAAAAGTGGACTGATAGAGAGAGTAAAGGAGTAACCCAACGATCATAAAGGGTATTAAGTGAATATGTTATAAACGGTTGCCTCAATATGAAAATTATTCTAGTATCACAGCTCATCCTGTGAAATGCCACCCCTCCATGCTTAGTAAGATATTTACTTCCTTAAAAATGTGAAGGTTTAGCTCAGCCAGTAAAGTCCTTGCCCTCATTCTTGCAAAGTCTTATTTGAGTGCCATGAATGACAATGCAGGTCCATATGATCAGTAAAAAATATTAACTTATTTTCCGAGTAAACTCTAAAGTCTCTAATTTCCAATGAAAAAATGAGCTCTGAAATTACTACATCTCATTCTTAACAGCTACCATGAAAAAGAGCTGATTTCTGAACTACTACAAGCAAGCAATTTAGCAAGAAAGAAACTTCATAAAGATGATATTCGAAACATAAGTGAACTGTTAGCTTTAATCAATCCATAACAATAAAGCTGGATGATACCTGAAAAGAAAACAATGGAAGATTGACATGACCATATATGAACTAACAGTACAGATAGAATGAGCATCATCCAAACCACGCCTCCAACAAGTAGCAACCGAATAAAACCCTTTTTCCACAACATTTTCATTGGGTACTCAGCTGATAACCTCCCAGATGAAAAGAATCCCTCTTCAGGATCTGAAACAACAAGCAAAACACCAACTTTTCACCATGAAAATAGATAACAATACTTAAAGTTACACAAAACAATGCAGAAATTACCCTTATCTTTCTGATTAAGAGCCTCAGGGTCAGCCCTACGGCTCGGCCGTTGTGATACTGATCTTTGATGATTAGCCTCCATTGTTATTTTCCCTCAACTTCTTACCATTCCCCCAGAAACCCAGATCACAAAAAGCACCCTGAGCACAATAAACTCTGATTCAAAAACAAAAATCTAAATTTTTTACTTAATTCAAGACAATAGAAGGTGAATTAACCATTTAACCACTTCAAACTAATCACATACTGGGTATTGTACTAATAGTCTAATACGAAGTATGTATGAGAAAAATAGCATTTAATTAAATATTACAGGTAAAAGTAAGAAACTTTATTGGTTTTATGTTGAATGCTGATTAATTTTCAATCTTCAAGAAAATAAGGATACACCCAATTCATATATCCATGCCATTTACAAACCCATAAACTAGGCATTGCCATTGTTATGGGCAAAGAGCAATAAATCAATTAATATTAAGGGTAAAAAGCATGCAATTTAATCTTGCAATTCTAGTAAAAAGATAAAATCTTTAAATGATTACAAGAAAAAACTAACAATGAATAATCAAACCCCACAAATGAAAATAATAAATTCTATGAGAATGAATGATTTATTCATAAGAATAGAATCTAAGTAACAACCCAGATCTAAGGACATATAAAGTGAGAAGTTACTTACAAGAAGTATGAATGTCGAATGTTATGCGATAGTTTGGAGTAATTAGGGATCCAAGACTCTTTAAATCCGATTGATAGAGTAATTTTTAGAGAACTCATGCACTCCTCACTCCGCAGGTGGAAGTTCCCTTTCGTTTCTTTTGAATGTAAGAAATTGTTTAATTTTTCCCCTTTTTGTCTTCTTAATTTTACAAGTGAACAATTAGAGGAACACAAAGTCTTATATGTGGCTGGTCACACGGGGTGGCCAGTTACTATAGGGGTTACTTTGCTAGTGTAATGGGGTTACTTCATCATTATTATAGAGTTACTCGGTCAGTGTTATAGGGGTTACTTGATTGGTATTACAGGGGTTACCTGATCAATGTTATAAGGGTTACTTTAAGTGGTCAAACGGTGTAACCGGTCGCACACAAGATGAGTCGTTAGAGGAAATGGGCCTAATGACCGTAATCTTAAGACTAGAACAAGATTTGGATTCAATATTTGGAAAGTAGACAAATATTTATGTGAACATATTTAGGGCATGTTCACATTTACTTAATTTCATTTCAGTTCAGTTCAACTCTAATTAGTTCAGTTCAACTCTAATTAGTTCAATTCAGTTCTTAATTTTCCTCTCTCATAAAATATTCAGTTCAGTTCATTTCAGCTCCAATCAGTTCAGTTCAGTTCCAATCAGTTCAGTTCGACTTAATTCAGTAAATGTGAACAGGCCCTTACTCTAAATCTTTATCATATTTGCCCTCTACAATTACTGATTTTTAGTGAGTTGAAGTCAATGAGTTGAAATTGTTTTTACTAAAACTAGAGTACTTTGATTAAAGTTAAACTTTTACTTTAATGATTTCTGAATAAGGTGTATAGAACACGACTGGTCATAATGTTTTGAAATAAGATATTTCGAAGACAATGTTTTTTGTTCAATAAACTAATGTGATGTTTTTGTCTAGTTATCATATAAATTTCTCTTGACAATATCTTCACCCTTAGGTTGCGAGTTTTGTGTCAACAAATATACCAATTCATATTTGATTTTTTGCTTAATTAATTAATCCTTTAATGGATCTATATAATACATTAAATTCCCTAAAAAAAACAACATAAATTAGTGGAATTTATTTATGATAATCGATATTGTTTACGGGGGCATTTGGCATGTGAAAATGAAAATTTGGGGATTTATGGATGGAAAATTGGTGTTGGAAATTCATGAAAGTGAGTATTAATTCATTGTTTGGTAGTTTAGGAATATGTTGATATTCATTAAGATATTACATCATTGCTCTTTTATGGCAATTTGGCCATTTCATATCTCCCTTCCCACTAGCCACCCTAGCCTAATAACCATGCTTTTTAAGAGGTTGGGTGGTCCAATTTTATTTTTGGGTTTAAAAGGGTTTTTATTGTGGTGTGGTAATTAAAAATGAGGCGGGTAACAATTTCACGGAAGAAACGTCGGTGAAAGACCGAAAAGGAGGCCTCAAGGGGCAAAGCTGTCTTTCCACATGAACTTTAAACATACCACTCAAAAATCAGTGAATTGGAGAAGAAGAACATGAACCCCAGGACGAAGAACTCTCTAGAATATTAAGTTAATGGCATTTTAAGGTAGAGAGAGATTATGATGGTGTGTGAGAAAGAAGCAAGAAAGCAACAATGGAGAAAGAAGTTTTGGAGGCTGAATTAGTTTTACCAACTCACTTAAACTTCAAGAAAGTTCAGATGTATGAAAAATACCCAAAAGGTCAATCCAGAGGCAGACATTGGAAGCATCTTAAACAGATTCTTCAGGCTGAAAATTACCAAAATTACCCTCCTGATGAACCCAATTGTAAGATTTTTCCTTTTTAATCTTTTTGAATTTATTAAGTGTTTCTGTTAATGGTGGTTTTTGTTGTTGTTTCTGAATTGGGTTTTGTTGCAATTATTGGTTTATGTGTTAATTTTGTTGTTTTGAATTGTGATTTTTATTTGGGAAGAACAAAAAAGGTTGAGTTTTTTAGGGGTGTGGAGGTTTTAATTAGAAAGTTTGGACCTTTATGATCATTGTGAATGAATTTATTTTAGGTGTGTGGATTAGAGTCATTCCAATGATGTAGAAGGAATTCAATCCGATGAGGGTATGTGTACTCGACTACTCGAACTCTTACCCCTAAGATCCTTAAGACTTAATTAACTAAACTATGTGCTATCTGCCCTCTACCATCTACATTGTGATTTGTGGATGGATTATAATGGAGAAATTATGGGTTTTAGCTTTCTGTATTGAATTCATTGTGGATAGTTGTTTTTTTTTTTTTCCCTTTTTATTTATTTATTTTTAACCTTCAAGCTAATAAGCTGTTCAATTGGTTTTGATGGAATTAACACTGATTTTCTTACCCTATTGGGTTTCACAGATATGAACATTGAGGCACCACCTTCAATGCATCCACCCAAGAGAATATGTGATATTACAGGATATGAGGTGAGACACAGACACTTATTAAATATTTACAATGAATCAAAATAGTATTGTGAATAATTGAACTACCATCTTCTCATACTAATAATACTATGACTGTATCCATAAAAATACGATGAGCAGTAGGATGTCACGGTCTGAAATTTCAAAGTGAAAACTTTGATCTGTGTGTTTTTAGTTGCCTTTGAACCAAGGGGGATGTAGGAAAGAGATTATTCCCTAAAGAGCTTGTAGTATGATTGCTGCATGAAAATATCACTGCTTCAATACTGACATCTTTAAGTAATTAAGTTAATACCTTTTGTTTGCTTACTATAGTTGAGATTTAAGGTTGGTGATTGAGATTATTACTGTTAGTGTTTATCAAAAAGGTATGGTGTTGTATCATTGTTTTGATGATGTCGTATATTTCTTGAACCTAACTGTATCCTTGTGAGGAGATGAATCACAAGTCATGTTCACAAGGGCAAGGAATTGGAAGCAAGTTTTGATAACAATACATAAGGAAATATTTTCATATTTTATACGATAGGTAGCTGATGCTCTTTCATCATAATACACAAGTATCAGGGTTCCTATGTGTTGATCTTTCAAGGGTTCAAATAATCTTACTCTGTACTAAGGCCATATTACATTCAAATGTCACTTTTCTGAATGCATCTGGTCTCTTGTTTACTGTTGTTGGGACTGAAGTTTGTAAAAAGTCTAACTCTTTAACGGCCTCACTAACCATGAAACCTGGTAAGAGAAGTGGAAGTGTGGAACACAGTTGGATATCTGCTTCTCAAATGGAGTTTGTGAAATACTACATAGATAATTAGATACTAAACCTTTTCTCAGTCCAAACGGAAGGTGATGAAACATCATAAGTAGATCTCTTCCGACTCTTAACTGATATATATTGATGGTTTTTAGTAATAGGTGCTGTATGAATCTTTAAGCCAAATATTGTAAATTGTGATACACAATAAACGAGCTATTGACAATTATCCCTCTCTGGTCCCTACCTGCTTTTTCAAATATATGGAAGAACAACATTTTAATCTGTTCATCATATGTAGAATTTGTGTTTTGTAGTATATATGCAATTAGAGTTGGTTGTTCATAGTTTGATTTTTCGGATGCACTAGAAATTTTCTGCTGCCATTTTATGCAGGCACAATATTATGATCCAAGGACCAAATTGCGTTATGCCAATGCTGAAGTCTTTAAACTTGTCAGGTCACTTCCCGATGATTATGTGCAGCGGTATCTGGCTCTTAGGAATGCTGCTGTTGTCCTTAAGTAGTTTTATCTCCCTCAAACAGTGTTCTGCTCAGCTACCTGGCAAGTTCTTATCATTGAATTTGACGAGGAACTGCTTTTGCTCCATCACAAATCTTGCAGTGTGCAATCTGAATCAAGTTAAACTTCTAGATTGTGCTTCTGATTTTTGAATATTAGCTAGTCTGCTAATTGGGTTTTGTATGTTGCTGAATTGCTAATGAACTTGAGTGTCGTTTTGTTTGCAATTTCTTTTACACTTGGTCAGTGTTTCCAGGTGTTTATAACAGATATATGAAAAAAAAAAAATGCTTATGTAAATGGAGATTATGCTATTGACATTCTCATCTGGCATTGTACCTAAAATTCCCCTCAAATTTATAAAAGTACAATTTTTTTTTTTTTTTTTTTGAGGCATATAAAAGTACTAATTTAGTATCATCTCAGTGCTAGCTTGGTTAATTTCAAGAAACAGTTCTATTTCACATCTAATTGCATTTTTTTGCATTTCTTAAAAGATGCTTAGTTTTGTTTGGTTGATCATAAAAAATTTAACTAAACATTCCTGGAGACTTTTCACAGGTTTAGAAAATTACAAGTATGAGAAAATCTCAGTCTTCTCAAGTCGTTATTATGTTAATTCAAGTTAACGCTTACTATTACCTATTTCAGAGTATAAATTTTACTCATTTGCTATCACAGTATCACATCATATGAGAAACATTTATGAAAACTGACAACAGAAGAATCTGAAAAGTGAAAACTAAAAATATCACAAAGCAACAATGTTTATGATTTGAATCTCGCCTATGATTTGAATCTTAGGTCTTGTTTGGTTGCCTTTAGTTTTTATGGGCACTTAAAATTCCCATGAATTTCCTCTTAGGTATGTTGTTTGGTTGATATTAAAAAGCAAAAATGGGGGAAGTCACAATTCATGGGAATTTTCATTTCCCACAAAACATAGGAAGTTACTTACCCACCCCTCCCTTGGTCATTCACAATTCCCATGATTTATAAATTCCCACATGACAACCAAACATATTTTTTTTTTGAAAGAAGTCTTAAAGGACATTAGATTTCATTAATAATAGCCATACGACATCTACAATTGACAATTAACGATAATGAAAACGAATTTAACAAAATCAAACAAGAATAAATCGGGGAAGGGCTAAGAATCCAAATACATAAATATAACAATTCGGCACATTCTTGGTTCGTTGTCTCATACAACTTTTTGAGTGGATCCGTCGCTGCTTCGTAATTTTGGGAGAAAGAAAATTCTTGTGTTGATTCTGTAACCCGAATCCGAGCCATAATCAATAGTAGCCCCGCACAACCAGAGACCAAATTAAGCACAAATGAAACCTTGTCTTTCGAAGGAGTCCGAAAAACCTTGTCTTTCGAAGGAGATAAACCCTTTCTTTCGAGGGAGACATTATTATAACCTAAGAAACAAAATTAAAAACTTAAAAGAAAATAAAGATTGGGGCTTTCCACCGGTGAAATCCGATGGAAGCCCCTTCAAAATTGACAATGGAGGCTAAACTTTAGGAGAGAGGAGAGAGAGAGAGGAGGCTAGGGTACAACCAAACATATTTATGTACTCCGTAATTCCTAGGAATTTTAATAAAGGAAGTAATTTCCCATGAATTAGAATTTCCCATGGAAATTTATTTCCTACATCAACCAAACAAAGCCCTAATTAAATCTTGCCTACATTACTTCCAAAGAGGAAATGACAAAACTACCCCTAAAACCCAAATCCCCAGACCTTAACAACCCAAACACTTCTCTCCTTTCCTTTTCCTTTTCCTTTTCCCTGTTCCCAAATTTCTTGTTCTACCTCCTTCTGGGCTCTCTCTGTGCTCAGCCTGCCTTCCGCCGCTGTCGCCGCCCATTTCAGCCGCCGAAGCCGCAATTATAGTCGGCGTTAAAGCGTAAAACACAATTCTTTCTCTCTCTTTAAATAAAACTACCGAAACAAAAACCCTTTCTTCCCCAATTAAATTTTTTATTTTTAGGGTTTACAGATAACAATGGAGGAAATAGACCATTACATAGTTCTTGGGTTAGTTACAGGAGAAGAAGGATCAAAGCTCACTGAGAAAGAAATTTCAACAGCATATCGAAAAAAGGCTATTGAATTGCACCCAGATAAAAATCTCAACGACCCAGATGCTCCAGCTAAGTTCCAGAAACTTCGAGTTTCTTACGAAATTCTCAAAGATCCCAAAGCTAGGAAAGAATTCGATGATTTGCTTAGGGTTAGAAGAGAGAAGAAGGTTCGAGATAAGCAATTCGATGCGAAACGACGTCGGATGATGTCGGATTTGGAGGAGAGAGAAAGGGCATCGTTTGTTGATCCGGAGAAGAAGGCTCGTGATGAAGAGGAGGCTATTATGAAGAAATTGGCTGAGGAAATTGCTAGAATTAAAGCTAGTTTGGCGAAGAAACCAGTGTTTGAGAAGGAGGAGAGGAGAGAGAATGTGGGTGGGGTTGCATTGGATAAGAGTAAGGTGTTGAAGGTGAGTTGGGAGAAGGGTGATTCTGAATATAGCGCGAGTCGATTGAGGGAATTGTTTGAGGAATTTGGAGATGTTGAAGATGTTGTGATTAAGGGTCCTAAGAAGAAGAGTTCTTGTTCTTCTGCACTTGTTGTTATGGGATCAAAAGAGGATGCTGTAAGTATTGAAATTTAGGTTTGATTGCTTGTTTTTGATTGATTTCATTGTTGGGTTTGATTGGAAATTTGTTTTAGGTGATGAATTTGAATAATTGATTGTTTTGATAGGTTGCTGCTACTGGAGTTATGATTGGGGATTTATCTAATCCATTGCTGGTTTTGCCTCTTGAACCAACTAAACCAATGCCTTCTGTAAGAGCCCAAGCGCCGGTGGAGCGAGACGAAGCACCAATGGGGAATGTTGTTGGGGCTGGATTTCAGGCTTTTGAGGATTCAGTTCTTGATAAACTCAGAAAGGTTAGCTATTTATTTTATGTAATGTGATTGTTTTAGTGTTATTCTCTATCTATTGTTTGTTTGAAGATTGTGAATAGAGAAAAAGGAAATGTGTAGAGTTAGTTGATTAATAGCTAAGTGCTTAGCCTGCCAATTCCTTTACTTGTAAGTAATTAAGCTAAAGAGTAGGGCTTTCGGTTTTATGAAAATTTTGCTGCTGGCGCTCTTTATCTGTTAATCTGTTATATACTCATATGTTCCCTGTACAAGGGTAGGAAACTACTATTAATTGCCTCCAGATTGATAAATGATGTGGAATTTGAGGATAATGTCACATCTAATCCATTGCTCAGTTGCTGTGTGGATAACGTCGCATCCTCCTGAAATAGAAGGGAGTGAGGAGCTCAAATTGTTAGCTCCTATGTCATGATCAGTTGAGGGTGAGCTGGTGAGGCAGTAAGCAACAGACAGAAAGGGAGAGTGAAACGAATACTGGGTGTCTCTACTGATTGCTGACTATGGACATGTAAAACCCACTGCCAATGACTATAGTGTATAGATTTGAATTTGGGTTGTTGACTGTGGAGATTGGTGTTAGCTCGTGATGTTTTAACAAAATTTCCTCTGGATGCTTTGTTTCCTACACATGTGAGTCAGTTACTGAACCTTACTATTCATAGTGTAACAGCTACTTCTGTAATGATTCTACCAAGGGAAAGGGAAGAAAATGAAAAAGAGAGGAGGGGTGGGGTGGGGTGTGGGGGGTACATTTCCTCCAAATCTCTTTAACATTGGAGGGATTTGGTTTGTAAAAGGGGAAAGGAAAATGGATTCCTTAGTTTCCTTTCCCCTCTCTCGTCTTATTTCTTATCCAAATAAGGAAAATGTTCATAGTGTTAAGGCAGATGGGACTGAGGGAGTATTATCTGAAGTTGTTTCTTAGTTTTGGGGTTTTATTATGAATGTCGATGCTGTGAGCTATGTTTTGCATAAATTTAGTGCAGAACTGAATAATTATGATATGCCATCTCTTTTAGCTGTGTGAAGTTGACAAACTCTTTTTGTTTAAGGTCTGATTTAAACTTGGTAGGCATAAAGGACTATTGGCTTTTTAGGTTTGGATCCAAGAAAAAAAATATAGTTACTTCAATCTGCTTCATGGTTCTTGTTTCTTTAGATGTATTAAAGGACTTCTTATTAGTAAACAACTCATGTTGTACTGTGAAAATTGTTTATCTTATGTTTTGGCATCTCATTGTAGTATTTACTACGGAGTATCTATCTAATGCTAGTGCTGTTATGTGGCTGTTGGTTCTCAGATTACTAGGCTACTGATGCTATTGTGTTTGTTTGAAGAGCTCTTTATCTTATTTTCATGTTTGCAATTTAACGCGTTGTTTTTAAATTTATCATATTGTTGACTACCACGAGTTGTTATAGTATTGAATTGTTCCTTATTTCTTTTGTTCCTGTGTGCTGAACAGGCTGCAGAGAAACAAAAAACAAACAAGAAGGAAACTTAAGACAAAGTGCTATTGATTTCACTGCAGAAGCTCCGGGCTTCACTGATGGACTGTTGCTTTGGATGACTGCTTCCTCTTGACAGAAGCAAAATTTATCTTCTGGGATCCCGTCAAAACTGTATGAAGAACCATTTTCCATCACGAGTTTGCACGACAATGGCCCAAAGGTCTCGGAGCTTGTAAAGCTGTAATGCTTTGAAAAATCTTTGTATATTTATACAAGTTGATTGTCGTCTTAGAATTATAACTCAGCCACAATTGTATGTACATTTACTTACATAAGAGCGTGTATTCGTTTTAAATTGCAACAATTTATTGATCTGGGATATAGAATACGGATGTAGTATAGCATAGCAAAATATAACATCACTAGCATTATTATGATAAATGATGCATTGGGTATAATTAATTGATAATCCAGTGAAGATGAAGGATTCTTGACTACGTATGTAATTATGTAACATAATTTTGAAATGGCCCTATAGTTAAATCAAACTCATTCTCGGGGTCTTTATGGACAAGTTACTAAGTTTGTTATAATTCCAAATCAACTTATATAACCTCAGGGGTCATCTCACACATTCAATTTAAATTTGGAAAAAATTCTCAAAATTGACATGAAAAAAGGCTAAGAAGATACAGGTTGGTTTAAAAGGTACTACTTCGTACAACATTAACACTCAATGGTATTTTTGTACTAAGGGTAGTAAACATATAATGATCATATATGGTTCTAAACGACATTATATGACCCCGAGATGTATCTCCTAAAATCTCAATGCTTTTCGACACCAGGCCTCGAAACAATCGAAATTTCTCAAAAAGAGTGCATATTAGCCTTCAATTTTGGAATTTTTTTGACTTTTTTCGCCCGGATATAAAAATTACCGAAATGTTTACTGTTTCGGGGTTTTTGATGTGTCCTGCGGGAGAGTTACAATTCCAAGAATGCCCTTCGACGCTTGTGCCTGCAAAATCACGAAGACTCCTGGGGGTAGGAGCTCCGCCTCCGACGATCAAGTTAGTGAAGATACGGGAGGTAGAATGCACGTAATGTAGAAGTTACTTCTCGCGTAATGGGAGAATTCTGCAATTAATATTGCTCGGGGTAAGTGTTTTTCTTTTTGAAGAGTATTCAATATGAACAACAAATGTTCCAGCCTCCCATTAATGAGGGTCCTTCCACTATTTATAGTGGGGAAGGGATGGTTTCCCTTTTAGGGTTTAGAGGACACGTGTCAGCAGAGGATTGGAGCCCTGCTGACCAACGGTTGGATGCCACGTGTCACTAGGCCATTGGGCCACGTGTTTAGGGTATTTTTACCCCAAACATTTACCATGGTCCCTAATATCCTCCGGGAGTCCAATTGGGTGGGTGGAACCATCCAATTTGCCTTTAAACGACCAATTTACCGGTTTACAACTTGCACCGATTTCATTAACTCAAGCCTACCACGAATATTTATGACAACAAATAATGATCATACATGTTCCAAACAACATTATATGACCCCGAGATGTATCCCCGAGAATTTCAAGACTTTTCGACACCGATCCCCAAAAACTCCAAAAAGTCTCAAAAAGCGTGGATAATAGCCTACAATTTTTTAATTTTTTTGACTTTTTTTCGCCCGTAAATAAAAATTGCCGAAATGTTTACCGTGGTCTCTAATACCCTCCGGGATTCCAATTGGGTAGGTGAAAGCATCCAATTTATTTTCAAACGGCCAATTTAATAGTTTACAACTTGCGTCAATTTCATTAACTCAAGTCTACCACAAACATTTATGAGAACATATAATGATCATATATGATTCCAAACGGCATTATATGAACCAAACATGTATCCTCTAAAATCTAAAGGCTTTTCGACACTGAGCTTCGAAACCTCCAAAAATTCTAAAAAAGCGTGGATATTAGCCTTCAATTTCGAGATTTTTTTACTTTTTTTCGCTCGAAAATAAAAATTGTCGAAATGTTTACCATGGTCCCTAATATCCTCATGGAGTCCAATTGGGTGGGTAGAACCATCCCATTTGCCTTTAAACGGCTAATTTACCGGTTTACAACTTGCACCGATTTAAATTAATTAACTCAAGCCTACGACGAGCATTTATGACAACATATAATGATCATATATGGTTCCAAACAGCATAATATGAACCAAACATGTATCCCCTAAAATCTAAAGACTTTTCGACACCGGGCCCCGAAACCTCCAAAATTTCTCAAAAAGTGTAGATATAGCCTTTAATTTTGGATTTTTTGACTTTTTTCGCCCGAAAATAAAAATTGCCAAAATGTTTACCATGGTCCCTAATACCCTCTAGGAGTCCGATTGGGTGGGTGGAAACATCTAATTTGCCTTTAAACGGTCAATTTACCGATTTACAACTTGCACCGATTACATTAATTCAAGCCTACCACGAACATTTATGACAATATATAATGATCATTTATGGTTCCAAATGGCATTATATGACCCCGAGATTTATCCCCTAAAATCTCATATTCTTTCGACACCGGGCCCCAAAACTTTCGAAATTTCTCAAAAAAACATGGATATTAGCCTTTAATTTTGGATTTTTTTTTTACTTTTTTGCACGGAAATAAAATTTGCCAAAATATTTACCATGGTCCCTAATACCCCAAGGGATTCCAATTGGGTGGGTGGAACTATCCAATTTGCCTTTAAACAACAAATTTACTGATTTACAACTTGTACTGATTTCATTAACTCAAGCCTACCACGAACATTTATGACAACAAATAATAATCATATATGGTTCCAAATGACATTATTTAACCCCGATATGTATTCTATATAATTTCAAGACTTTTAGACACCGAGCCTCGAAGACTCTAAAATTTCTCAAAAAGTGTGGATATTAGTCTTCAATTTTTGAATTTTTTGACTTTTTTCGCCCGGAATTAAAATTGCCGAAATGTTTATTATGGTCCTTAATACCCTCCGGAAGTCCAATTGGGTGGGTGGAACCATCCAATTTGCCTTTAAACGACCAATTTACCGGTTTACAACTTGCACCGATTTACCGATTTACAACGGCCAATTTAATTAACTTGCACCGAAACCGACTTGAACTGAAATTGACCCAAACCCGTTTTAACTCGTCAAAGCCCAAATTTAACCCGACTTGTTACTAACCTGACTTGAATTCAACCGAATTTAACCCAACCTGTTACAAATCCAACCCGAAATTAACCCGACTTGTTATTGACCTGACCCAAATTAAACCCGACTTGTTATTACCCGACCAGAATTTTACCAGACCTATTACTTACCTGACCCAAAAATTCAACCCGATCTGTTACTAGCTTGACTCGAAATTAACACGACTTGTTATTGACCCGACCTAAATTCAACCCAAATTGTTTCTGACCCGATTTCAAATCACCTTAAATGCAACTTAGACCACCTTATTATTGTAGATCAAAACATTTTGTCTAAGGAGACCAAGTCGGTCTAGGCCAGCAAAAGAAAAGACCATCATCCTCAAATTTAAGAGTTAAATATAGTATATATTATTTTATGGTCAAAGGAGATAATTATCTTTCTAAATTATAAACTGTAGTTCCCTATTATATTGCCATATATATTATAGTCAAAGGAAATAGTTAGCTTGATAAAAATGATAATTATCTATTTATAGTTAGTTAAGCCCGAATATGACCAGACGTGATCGTAACCAGCAAATTATTGACTTGAACATAACCCGACTTGAATCCGAGAATAACCCGACTTGGAAATGACCCAACCTGATTACAACCCGCAAATTATTGACTTGAACCGAACCCGACTTGAACCCGAGAATGACCCGACTTGAAAATGACCCGACCTGATTATAACCCACAAATTATTTACTTGAATCGAACCCGACTCAAACCCGAGAATGACCCGACCTGGTGGAACCCGCAAATTATTGACTTGAACCGAACCTGACTCGAACCCAAGAATTACCCTAACCCGTTTTAACCCATGAAAACCCGAATTAAACCCAATCTATTGTTCACCCGAATGTAATCCGACCTAAATCCAACCCAAATCTAATAAGAAGTATGACCCAACGTGGCCCGAATCAAGGATGACCCAACCCAAATCCGACCCGCATAGGTTATGAAATTAATCCGAATTGACCCGACCCACTCTTACCCGACCCAAACCCGAATTGACAGCTCTAAGTACACAGACTATACAGTATACACACTTCATGGTGCCATAATATATTAAATCAAATTGCATAATTATGGCAAATCAAAATAATAGGCAAACAAGATTTGACTTTTGTCATGCTTTTTACCAAAGCCTTTTCTCCTAGTTGACTAGTCTGTACTACTCTATACAAATCTAAATATATCATGATGAGCCTCACAAAAAAGAAATGATGTAATCAAGCAATGAATCTGTGTCAAAGTTACAGATATGTTTAGTGTTTCTCTGTGATTAAGCTAGAATCGAGCCCAAAACAGTTTGCATTATGCAGAATTTCGCAGAAGCAAAGCCAACACATAAGAAAGAGCTGCATCAATTGAGGACAAAGCAACAACAAGCCCTGCTACAAGTACAAGGGTGAGGGTGGCAGTTCGCAGCTGCAACAAAAAACAGAAAAAGGAAAGTATTAGATTTTCAGCCCCCTAGTGAAATACACAAGGCAGTGACGGTCAGATATTAGACATATTATCCTCTGTATTCATCAATTACTGCTTTCCATGGAACAGTCCCGTAGCAGTTTAAACAAGGACTAGGCATTAACCTTAAAGGTCTTTGATATACAATCTACGGTGCCATTAAAAGGAACTTGAATGAAGGACAACTAAAAAAATCAGTTATCAGGATTGCGAGAAATGGACATTATACATCTCTGTTACCAAATCAACATATTCAACCACTTCAAGGTGTTCATTAAGGGGTTGAAAAAGGGTCATTCTTATAGTCAATATAAGATAGACATCTAAGTCAATATAAGATGAGATAGTGTCCTATAGATCTCAAATCTTCATGAAAAATGACACTGATAGCATCATCAACGAAATAAAACTCCAAAAGGGTACAAGTAATTACTTCTTATTACTTCCATGTTTCATTTGCTCTAAAGAGAATATTCCTTGTCTTCCATTCACACTTATTTGTCAATACTTGTGAAAAAAAAAAAACACACACACACAAATAAATTATGAGTTTTTGTTCTATCCCAACATGGCTTAAATCATTTCACAGCGGCAGAAAATTTCTGCATACATAACATCATTCATCGATGATTAGCCAAAGAATTTAGGAGATATTATGTCCAGGATACTCCATCATCTATGCACTTCCATATATACAAGACACTAGACTATGTTAAATGGTACTAAGCATTTAGGTACCCAAATCAACATATTGAGCCGACGATTAACGTATTCTGATTCAAAGACTTCTGTTTAAAGTCAGATCATATAAGCAATTCTGCTTTCATCAGTCTAATTATCATCAAAGACAACATACAATGAGAGTTTTCATTGTAAAACATCAAGATAAAGGCAATTATTATGGAGAGGGGACACAAATCCAATCAGAACTCTAGTAGCATGTTTTCAAGAGCACAAACAAGCATATACAAGTATTAGAAGTTTAGACAAGAATTATTTCAACCTGGAAAAGGCCTACATTAATCAACAGCAGCAGAATATTGCAACACACATAACAAATATGCATCCAAAAGTTAGGCAAAGGCGGTACCGTGTCCTGAAAACTCGGCCATTCTATGTACTTCAACTGACCAGGTTGCTGAGCAAGGAAAGCAAGCAAAGACTTCAAACCCCTGAAAAGAATATGGCACAACAAACCACTCAATTGAATTACAAGCTACTACTCCTTCAATCTCAATATAGTTCCACACAAATTCTTCTAACCCTAATACCTGATTGTTTCCTTAGAAAATTGCACCCAAAATGGTTCCTCATCAATCTCATCATCAAACTTTAATCCATAACTTCCTCCCCTAGACATCGAAAACCGAGGTCGAATCTGCCTCTTGTTTGAATAATTGATCTCTGACCTTAAATTCTACCAATATATAAGATGGGCAATTCAGAAATTCTATACAAAACACTAATATGCTTAGAAAAAAAAAATGAAAAATCAATAGAACAAGTAGACAATTATTTACCCATTTCGGTACAAAATTACAAGCAATCAAGTCTCTAGAATTGGCTTCAGTAGACATTCGAAATCGATACGAAAGCATTGGGTTTCCATTTTTATGACCCAAAACTACATCAATTGAAAAGGGCAGTGAAAATTTTGTTTAATATCTTCAATACAACAATTCAATTAACAAAATATTGAGTAAATAATAGAGTAAAAGAAATTGGTACCAGAAGAATTTGGTAGCAACCCAGATAAAGTAGTCATTTTTATCAGCAACACATCAAAATAATTGTAATTCCCTGAAAAATAGCAACTACATAATGTTAATTGATATTAATTGTAAACCTAATTTGAACATAGGGATATATAGTTCATGGTTTACTGACCGTAGGAGAGAGAAAGTTGAGGGATTGGAATCTTGGATAGTTGAACGAGTCTTGACAGTTGAATGAGTAGGATAAATCAGTGAGTGTAAACTAGATTTTCTGAACAATAATTTTGGCTAATTTTATGGTGTCTAATACTTTGTAGTCACAAATAAAAAATAAAAAAGAAAAACTTAGTAGTGTTTTTTTTTTTTTTTTTTTGAAGGATAGTAGTGTTAATTCGTAATTTAGTACGGTGTATTTTACTATTTTTAAATAGTCCATTGTGGGGGAGATCAAAAAAAAAATAGTCCATTATGGGGCTATTTTTAAAATAACAAAGTAAACTTTATAATACAGATAAAAAAAACCTCTGTAATATTGGCCGATTAGTCCTAACCGGAACATATAAATTCTTAAATGAATCTGGTTCACACTAATTTATTGTAGACCACTAATATTAGAGAAACTATGATTGTTTTATTAATTAAAAATAAAGTCACTATAACAAAAATAAGGTCACTGTTTTGAAATAAAAGTTATTTTGGTAATATATAGGCTATAAGAAGTTAAATTTTTTAATGAAATATTTTATACACGGGTCAATATGAAAAATAAAGGTCACTATGTTAAAATTAGGGTTACAACGTTGTATTCAAGTTCATAATAATATTAAATGTTATAAAAGTTTTAATAAAGGTTACCATGTTAAAAATAAGGTTACTATGTTAAAAATAAGGGTCACTATGTTCAATATAACGCCAGTTGCGTTTGTATAAATATCGGGTCAACAGTAATATGATTGTGGAACAGGTCCACGCAAGTCTTTTTGACCCCAACATTAATAGAAAAACGCTATAACATTGACAAAATCCTAGATCACACCATATGTCCAGGTACATATAAGAATTTGTTATATTTTAATGGTTATTATTAACAAATATCATAATGATAAATTTTCAGCCTTTTCTTAAATTAACAAGATAAAAAAAAAAAAAATCACTTTATATGTTAAAGTTGTAACTGTAATTATATTACTAGCTACATTATTTTACTAGTGTAACAAATTTTAAATTTATCTTTTAATAAAAACTTTTTTATCATCTGTAATTCCATATTCCTAATTCTACCCAAATTCTTGTTGCCTCCAAAACCCCGCTTTATATACATAACCACATGCTTTTTTCTACCCTAAAAAATTATTCCACTCGAAAAAAACAAAAATACTCAACAAAAATATTTTACAGCATTCTCTTCACCATGTCTTTAAAACACCAAATAACAACCATTGGCATTGACACAAAAAGTGAGTTGCATTCACCGGCTAAATACTCGTACACAAGTCTTTGTGACTTGATCCCGCCAAATTTTGAAGAGTTGCGTCGAAAATCGATTTACGAAGATATTCAAAAGATAAAGAATCCCTTGGTTAGACATGCTGCCTTGGCTTACCTTAAACCTATGCCAATCCCGCCACCGGTGGAGGATCATGATCACTGGTTCAAGAAGCTTTTACTTAGTTTTAATAGAAAAAAGTTGTGATTCCGATAATGACAAACAAAGAGATGTCAAAGACAAGGTAGGGTGCATTGAATTCATTAGAAAGTTCGTTTTTGGGTGATTCTTTGAGTTAGTTGTTTTAGATATATTCGAGATTAAAGTTTCTTTCTATCTTTTTATTTTAGAGAATTAGGTTAAATTTTAGTTCAATTTTGTAGTTTATTAGAGTTATCACAAATGTAGATAATCCCTCGTGATCTTTTTGTTGATTCATTATGACTATTAGACTATTAGTTCAAAATTATTTCAAAATCAATACTTTTGTTTCATTGAATTCATTCAAATAATGCATGATAATAAAAGGTAATTTGCTTCATAATATCATTTAAATCTTTGGTACTTGTAATATATTTTATCTCCATTATTTGTGAAATTTTTATATGCATTGGATTTGATCATAAACACTTTATAATAATTAAATTAAGCTAAATTCAATGAATCATAACCCACATCCCACATTCACTTTTAATGAGTAAATTCGACATTGTGTCTTCGAACTTTTGCTAGGGCTAATTTTGAATGTCTTTAGTCACAAAACTTCAACCTTGTTATATTCAATGTTTTTTAAAAAAAAATTCAAACCATGCTTGTAGGTTTTTACTCCTGGTCATCTAAATTTTAAAAGTCTCATTTTATGACTTTTAACCTTCCTTAACATACTTTGAATACGACTTATAACATTAGGTCACTCTGTGTATAATAACGTATGAGTACTTTTCATTAAAACACGTAAAAAAAACACGTTTTATTCTCATTCTTAAGTGGCCCACTATCTCTCAAGAGTCAAGATAGAATCATTTTCATATGTTAAAAAATAAATCTAAATCTAAATCAAATTCTATGTCTTATGCACACTTATCCCATTTATTTCCCGCATGAAACTAGGTCCCTTAACCTACCCCAAAACTACAAAGCATCTACTCCGTACCATCCCACATCCCATATTCAACTTTTCACTATACTCATCCATTTTAAACTAATAAAACCAAAAAAATGTCATAAAAACTATAGTATAAAAATAAACCTTTGTCCATCCAAACACCACCACTCAAAACTCTCTCACATCTTCACCCTTCTTTCTCTCTCCTCTTTCTCTCTCTTCCCCCCCAAAAAAACCATGGCAAATTCTCCATCATCAGAAACCGAGATCATCGAACACGTGGTACTCTTCAACATCAAAGACGAAGATGATCAAGATCCATCAAAAGTCAATGCAATGGTCAACGGTCTCAACGGCTTAAACTCACTCGATTCAGTGGTCTACCTTACCGCTGGTCCAATCCTCCGCACTCGATCCCTCCCTTCTTCCCTCAAATTCACTCACATGCTTCACGCCCGTTACCCCACACGTGCGGACCTCTCCACCTACTCCCTCTCCGACCAACACGTGTCAGTCGTCAACTCCTTCGTCAAACCCATTTGCGACGACGTTTTCGCCATCGATTGGGCCGTTAATCTTGTGGGCCCGACCGTCCCAAGGCCCGGTTCTGCTATGAGGTTCACTTTTCTGAAGGTTGAGTGTGAAGATGAAAAGGAAAAGATTTTGGAGGGTATGAAGAAAATTAAGGAGAGTTTAGACCCTTTTGTGCAAATAAGTTTTGGGGAGAATTTTTCTGATCGTGGGAAAGGATTCAGTGTAGCGGCACTTGTTGTGTTCCCTGATTTGATTGAATTGGACGGTGGTGAAGAGTATGAAGATCAAATGAGATCGTTGATTGAGAAATTTAAGGTTTCTGATGATCATTTTATAGCCGTTGATTATGTTGTTCCTCGTCTTACCCCTGTTACTCCTGTTACTACTAGTGTGGAGTAATTTTTTTTTTGGGTACTTTTTTTGTGTTGCTTTATTATATTCTGTTTTTTTAATTTATTTTATTTTGAATTCTGGTTTTATTTTATGTTTATTGATTCTATGGATAAGGAAAAATCTAATAAACGCAACTTCGAAATAAACAACAAAATTTCGACTATCAATATTTTTTTTTTTTTTACAACTGACTATCAACTTCATTGGCAAATAATGAAATAATACATGCCATTGTCACATAGAGAATTAAATGGAGATTTTTTAACGTGTGTCCATTAACACATAGTACTCGTATTAGAATAAAACTTGCAAAACTGTTGTTAATACAAAGTAGATTTGTTATTTGTGAATTGAAGTTCATTTTTTTTTAACAAAAAATTTACCCTAATCTAAAACAATAAATTAAGTTCGAGGTTGGTGCTAAAATATTAACTTCCTATTTTTGTGACCACAACTATCTAAAAATGATAAATTAAGTTCGAGGTTGGTGCTAAAATATTAGTAACTCTTTTGTTTTTTGACCAAACATGTGTCCTATTAGACAAACCAACGCTTAATACATCGACACATTATATATCTTTGTAATAGTTTGATGATTGAATTTGTTTTTTTGTCCGAGCACATAAAATTGGCTGTTTATTTGAGTTATAGGTTATAGGAAAATTACACAAGAGTTGAGCCCATATAGGGTTTTAGGAACGATTAGTTCATGAACCAAACAAACACAAATTACTAAATTTATATCGAGTGTAATTTTTAATTTGAATGGTCTTATATTTATAAGACCACCTTATAGATGAGTTATCAGGACAAAAGAGCGATTAGGATGGGAGATATGGTCTTATAATATTCAGGTAGCCTTATGGAAGTCCCAACAGGGGGATCACTCTTTGGCCTGGTTGCGGACGACCCCGATATCGGATTTTGGGTCAGACTATGAATGGTACGACTTACCGTAGTGTTCTTTGCAACCGGTTGGATGTTCCTTTGTTCTCCGTTTCAACACCGTGTTTTGCTTGCTCAAGGGTTTTTGATGGGGATATTTATGGGGATCATGCGGTGTGTTGTGCTGGGATGGTGGGTATTAAATACCGGCACAAATGTTGTTTGTGACACCCTTGTTGATATTTGTTTTCGGTCTGGGATTTCTGTTCGAAAGGAGGTTAACATTGGGTTAATTGGAGGAAATGACGGAACTCTACGACCAGCAGATGTGCTGCTTTATTCATGGAATAGAGGCCTTGATGTATGTGTTGACTTAACAGGGTCTTCACCTTTGACGCAATCGGGATTATCTGACTTTGTTCCTGGCCGTGTTGTGTCAGCGGTGGCTTAGCGGAAGCGGGACAAGTATGGGGCGTGTTGCAGGGCTATTGACTGTGATTTTCTTCCCTTCTCCTTTTCTTTGTTGGGGGAATTAGAGAAGGATGTTATTGTGTTGCTGAAGCGGGTTCAGGCGTTCTCTAAGACTCAGGATATTGGTGCTCGTGCAGCTGCTCACATCTTCATCAGGATCGGGTTCACTATAGCTAGAGGGGTGGGGGCCCAAATTGTATCTCGACTCCCCACTAATTTCTTGTAAATTGATTGACTCTATAGTTTTTTTTATTATTATTATTTTTTATAATAATAATAATAATAATAATAATAATAATAATAATAATAATAATAATAATAATAATAATAAGATGGTTTTACACTAACATTTTCCCTAAATGCGTTGGCATCAAATTTTCGAACAATTTTTCATTTGTACATGATGAGCCTTGGGCTTATGGAATTAGGGGTGGGCCCCTCCTATACGTGAGAATGGTTATCATGTGATCTAAAACTTGAGGTCTAATTGTATTCAAAAGGCAGTTATCAATGTCTTTTTTATTTACCCCATTTATTTATTTTAATGATGAATAAGTTTTGAAATATGGAACTTTATAAGATGCATGTCATATTGTCATAGATGTGTCAATTTTATGTTTCCTCAAAATAACTGTGGATAAATTAGTAGATTTGATCATGTATGCAATAATGATTGAGGTTTTGTTTATGTGATGAGTTTATAATATATAATTTTTTATGAACTGTATTATTGGTCTAAAGATAACATATTTTTAATTTATTCCTATCTAGATATAAATTACAATCTGATCCACATGTAATAGAGCCAACTTTGTACGCTGTTTGAGATTATGCCAACGAGTTTGGTAGCCAATCTTTTTCTTCTAAAAAGTTGAGTTGGTCCCTAGTATCATATTCAAGTATTTTTTTATGGAAAAATATAAGTTAATCTGCCAGATAAACAAATTTTTATTGATCTGATGACATTTTTATAAATATAATGAAAAAGTAGGGCCATTTATTTAATATTTTTGGTGAGTTGTTTGCCAGATAAACGAATTTTTGTTGATCTGATGGCATTTTTATAAATATAATGAAAAAGTAGGGTCATTTATTCAGTACTTTTGGTGAGCTGTCCAATTACTCTTTGTTTTTTGCTTTTACTGTTTGGTGAGGAAATTACACACGTATCCCTCCACTAGTACATGAAAAAACACATATACTCCTCCACTGATACTTGAAAAAACAATTATACCCCCTCAACTAGTACATGAAAAAACACATATACCCCTCCGCTGATACTTGAAAAGACAATTATACCCCCAAATAAACAAATTTTTGTTTATCTGGGGAATTGACTGGGTATCCCTCCTTTTTGCCTATGATAATTTGTATGAGTACGAGATTTAGAGTTTGAAAACTGAAAAGGTATGGAGAAAAAATATTGGCGAGTGATTGATGTTAAATTTAAGAAAATAATGATAAATCTGAAATAACCATTTTCTTAATTAGGAAAAGCAAAAAAATTAGGACACACTTAATAAAAATAAAAATATGGGTTGAGCAAATTAAAACGAAAGTAATATTATTATTTACTAATGAATTACTTGTACTCATCCTATGTTGGGCATTGGCCTATGGTTGTCTAAAGAATTGGTGTGTGGATCATTGGCTTTTGGTTTAAGTAAGAGCATGTTATCATACGTTGAAATTCGGTTCACTTCAGTTCAGTTCAGCTCCTAATTTCCTTGTCTTATAAAATATTCAGTTCAGCTCAACTCATCTCAGCTCAGATCAGTTCAGTTCAGTTCAGCTGAGTTCAGTCAATGAGAACATACCCTAAGTTTATAGTATAGACGAGATTTAATCTTAAGTACCCTTTAAAAAAATTTAACTAACCGGCTTAATTAATAATTATAGAGTACATTATGATTACACCTAATTGAATCCGATTTTCTCAAGTCATACAAAAGAAAATCAGCTACTAATTCTACTCCTACCACATACAATATCTATGCTGTCTTTATTATTAAATCGTCTCAAATTAAAATATATAATAAGACATTGCCGTTCCATGATTTGCCAGTCATAAACCAGCTTAAAGGATAACAACTTAACAAGAATTCAAGAAATACATTGAAAAATATCATGGAAATTTGATGAGTGTTACGTGAATTATCCTCCCTAAACAATGGACCCACCATTTTTGAAAACAACATTTTTAGTCCTTAATCAGTTGATTGGTCTACTTTGCGGATTATTCTTCTAAAAATAAACTTTTTGAATGGATTTTTTTAATTAATCAAATACTTTTATACTTAATTAACAATTGAAAATTTATGATTAATTCATTCCAGCAGATAGGCTACGGATGTAATTGACATGATCAATTGGACGGTGCCGTTTTGATTTTCTTAATTAAGCTGATTAAAGCTGGCGGAATCTAACGAGTACTAAAAAATTAGTTTAACACTTAAATAACTATCCGGGTTCAAATCGACCCAGTTCGGTTAAACCGGGTCATATTATGGTTGTAAATTTGTAATTAATGGTCCAGCCCAAACATAATTACACTAACAGAAAAGTGGGCCTAAAGGTCCTAAACCTAATGAATCACCTTTCGAGCCCAATTAAGCCCACATGAACCGGCCCATTCTCAATCATAATACACAATTACACACTGGTTCTCAAACATGTGTTTTATTATCTATATACCCTGACCTAATTGTTTAGCTTAGTTATGGTTTAATTTCATGTTTTTAGTTTTGCAATTTCTATTTTTTAATAATCAATTTAACTTTATGTGATATCTTGTAATTTGTTATGAATTTGAATGGTTTTAAGTAAAGTCGTAGGAAATGTCATGAATCTTTAATTCGATATGGAGTTTTACTTGAGATGATTTAGAGGGATAGCCCGAGTGGGTGATAAGTGGAAGATATTTCATAACAAAATTGGAAACTATTAGAAACATGGATGACATATATAGTTGGAAGCTCTTTTAAAATATATATATATATATATATATATATATATATATATATATATATATATATATATATATATATATATATATATATAGTTGGAAGCTGCACCAAGCAATAACTTTAATCAACTTAATTTGAATTGACATATATAGTTGGAAGCCAAATGCTCTCATTAAATGAAGAAGTAGTGAATAAGATGATAAATGACACATTAATTAAAGCCTAAATATATGTACTTCAACATGAATTATCAATGTTGTAATTGACAAATCTGAAATCCAAACTAACAACTTCATAATTACAGAGCAAATCAATATAAATTGCATTTTTTGCTGATCAAATCCATGGCAATTAGCTAGGATCACAATCATACATCAAATTTTACATCCTTTCCAAGGTAAATAAGACATTACAATTAATTGATCAATCATAGAATTGTACTATTGTTGCATGAAACTTGGAAATAAATATGCTCCAATTAAGCCCCAAGATAAAAAGCTTCAGCTGAGGCAGTGGCAGTTGGGAATGACTTTTGGTAGAACCAAATGATACTGTCTGGTTTGTAATATGCCCGTCTGCTTGGACGACCCACGTTTCCAATTACTGGTTGATTCAAGTACGCATATTTGCTCTTTGTCCACCTATACGGGAAAGATATTTAAAATGTACGGGAACTACCTACTATATTATACCACTTTAAAAATTACACGAGTTTGTTTTGGACAAACTAGCTACTAACTAATGTTTAGATTCCGTTAAGGTACTGCTAAGATGCCCAACAAACTCAAATTTTTTTAGGATGATCAACATGGTTTCATCTTATAACGACAATACTATAACATATTCCTTACTTGGTTAATTAGACATAGACATAAGACATTATAGTCTATTCACCATCAATTGCGACACTTTTAACTAAAGTATATATACCAAAAAAAGGCAAAGCAAAACAAAAGTTACTTAGTTAAAGTTGGATCAATCTCGTTCAATCGTAACTATTGTCACTTTTAAGTTAAGTTTAGATGTTAAAGACGGATTAATCTGATACTTAAATTTGATGATAAAGACAAAAGCCCGATTCAATTTACTTTATCAATCACCAATTTCAAATGACATATACTTCGTGTATATAATTAGTTCAATCACTTAATATCCATAGAAAGTAATAAACTTTATAAATGGTTAATTACATTAATTTAAGAGAATCAGGGGCTTAAGAGAAAAGTCAACCATTAATTGATTACAAAAAGAAGACTTACCAATCCGTAATTCCAACACGAATTTCTTGATTGTTTCCACAAATCTTCTTTTGAATGATGGTATTAACATCCTCTTCTTCCTCTAAACTCTCTATAAACAACAAATAATCCTCTTCCTATAATAACACAAAATCATTTAATCAATAAACAATGCTATTTCAACCCGATTCCTTAAATGACTTAAGGACTATAACAATACTCTAACAAAAAATGTTATTTCAAGTGAAATCCAATCCACCAAAATAATTTTGATTTATAGACAGTGTCATAATGGTAAAAAATGACCGCGCACCAAATATGACTTAAGGGCTATTAAAATGGGACGGATGGAGTATTAATATTATGCGAAACAATAAAATTAGTCAAGAATTACAGAGAAATGAGTAGCTCTGAGACGTGCAGCAGCTTTGATTGCAGCAAGTAAGTGTTCCTCTTCCTCAAGTCTTTTCTTCCTCCAAAACCTCTCAATCTCCCTCCTTGTATAGCTACTCCACCTCGGCCGAGGCGGCGGTGGTGGCGGTGTTGGAATTGGTGGACGTCTTGTAGATTTCATTACCACCTCTGCCTTTTTCATCACCCCCATATTTTTTTCGTACACTTTTTTTTGTTGTATGATCAATTTCACTAGTTAACACTTTTTTTTGATAGGTTGAAAGCTAAAGATAAGAAAAAATAGTATTGGTGGTAGTGGAACTTTGTTGTTCAATTGTTGTGTTATTTAGATAATCCAACTACCTTTCCAACCTAACGTTCCAAAGATTATAATAAAATCCTTGAATATCAAAAGCATAGGTTATATGAGAATTTTGGAGAATTATATGAAATTTTTTACATGAATTAGGGTGAACATCAAGAAAAAATGTGTGAAGTGGACTGACGGATACATATGACGACGTCATATACGTGGAGTGTGTGCCCACATAAATTTATATAATAATGTTGAGTGTTAGGTAATTTATATTTATATAATTGACTATGGATTAGAGTCTCTAATTTCTTATTAAACTAAGACATTAAGTGGTTAAGTGTGATTATCATACAAATATGAGATAAGGACGCACTTTCAGCTGAATTAGAATAACTAATTAGTAATTAGCCATTTTAGTCAAGTTGCTGATAAATACAAAAAGGTCAATTGTAGAAGATTCTTTTCCGTTTAAGGGTAGCAAGGTAATGCGAAATTAAAAAGATTCAATTGGTTAGGTGGTCGAAAATTTTGATCCCAATACTTGAGCTAGCATGCAAAATTTTAGAGTCTTGAAGACAATTTTAATCGTATTTTTTTTTATTTTGTGATATGTACTAAAGTTCGGACTTAATCGTCTCATACGGTAATCTATATATTATCACAGTTACATTTAAAACTAGTAGCTATGGAGTATGATAGATGATAATTAGTCGAACTTAGTTAAAAAATGTGAGAGGAATAATACTCAAAGGGGGGTGTTTTAGCAATTGGCTTTTTTATTTGGTCAAACAACTAAAAAATATATTTGGTAGTTGGCTTTTTTACTAGTTTTTAAGCTGACTTTTCCGCCAAAAGCTAATAAAACTTGCTTTTTCAGTTGACTTTTGGCTTGTTGGCCCACTTTATCACTAATAAAGTACTAACTTTTTCTAAACATTTGACTTAAACAACTAACTTAAAAAGTCAATCCCGACCCACACGTACATCTAATACTTTCAGCTAGTCAACCAAGCCAAGCAAACAAGCCAACAACCAACCTCCGATTGCCAAACAACTCCAAAATCTAAAATTTAGTCACGCCTGCATCACTATTTTTCAACAGCCCTTGTACTAAATGAAAAAACACAGTAGGGTCAAGAGTTGGATTCAATTTGATGCATCCGTGATGCAATTGGCTCAATCACTTTCAATCAATTTGACAAAATTGACATGTACATCTTCCATAACCACATTATGACTTGATTATGGCTTGACCCCGGGATTTATTCATTGTTATCTTGATCAATTACTAGTTTACTACTAATTGGCATCCTTAAAATATTAGCAATTACTAATTGATTTGCTATTTTTTGACTAAATAAATAATGTTCCGTATAATGGTTGCTTAATATTTTGATCTTCTAAGGTCTAACCGATAAAAACGACAAATATTGAAAAACAACTTGCATTATATGAAGTATTAAATGTACATTTGATTATTTGAAATATCTTTATCATAGTATAGAAGGTAATCTGTCTTATGATGATCATAAAGCAAGCTTTTGTAAAACTTTTATATTCCGATGATAGTACGATAATAATCAATATTTGTTGAATGGTTAAAAGAGTTTAGAAAATGAAAATGGGACAAATTTGCTGACACATGTCTAAATTAGTCAACAAAATTACAAATTACGGAGTAATAAAAAGACCTTAATCAAAATTATTATAATACTCGTACCAAAAATACAGTGTTAAATTTCAGCCCAACAAGACCTAAGTGGTCCATTAATAGTAGAGCTGCACCACCCAAAGTTCCCGTTTATTGTCGGCCCACAAAGTGGACTTTCGGTCCAAAAAATTTGTTTCACTGTTTTTTTTTTGTTTTGTTTTGTTTTTTTTTTTAAATTTATTTTATTTTGAGGGATTTTTTTTTTCTCTATTGTAAGGTACAGTGTCATTTACATAATGGAAAAGCAATAATGACTAGTGGAAGTACATTTACTAGGTTAAAAAATTTTCAAAGCACCCCTGTTCTTCTCAAAAGAGTTCTTGAAAAATCTAAATTTCTGAAAATAATGTTAATTATCTGAAAATAATAATGTTGAAAATACATAAGTATAAAGTTCATCATGTGGAACCCATTCTAATGATCGTATTGTCACCAAATATTTTTGCCATTCTAATACCAATTTCCCCCTTAGATTTCTACGGCCTTGTGGATTTGAGGCATGAGAATAGAAATTGAAATTTTATTAGATAAATGTTAGATATGAGTTTTAAAAATTTCATAACCATATCTTATACCTAAAAGTCTAAAACAAACAAACTTAAAGTTCCTTAGTTCATTTTATAATTTTACAATGTAAAAAAAAATAACGCGGTGTTTGGCTCAGCTCACTTTACTTAAGAAAAATCTTATCCAACTCGAAAGAAAAACGAAAAAGGCAACATGTTTCCCAACAAGTTGCCATAGTAGTCTTTGATAAAGTTGATGAAGGCCACTATCCACTGATCAAAAGATTGAAAACATATTAAGTATAAAACTTACACTGATCAAAAGATTCAAAACATATTATCAAGTATAAAATTTAAACCATTTGTAATTTGGGCTCCCGTGTTTAGGTAATACAAGTACAAGTTAATACGGAGTTAAGGTTTTCAAAAATAAAATTAGATTGCTAATTTGTGTTTGGGCCCGTTTACTGAAGTGGGCTTACTTTGCTTCTAGTGTACTTAACAAATGGTGATGGTTTTTTTTTTTTTTTTTTTTTTTTTTTTTTTTTGAATAAAGATAAAGTTAAGTATGTGGAATAAAGTTGTAGGATCAGAAGTTATCTTTCAAACATACTTTTCTAATTTTTTTTTGACAATAAAGTTGTATCATTTTCTAAGTAGTATATGAGTATTTTTTTTTCCTAAACTTGTGAATAGTGTCATATATAAATGGAATTTTTATAAGTACCATAATGCGAGAGAAATGGAACAAGGGGATTTCTCGAGAATATATGGATGATGAAATATATATATATATAATAACATTGTAAACAATAAAAAATTCAAAACTGCAATATATAATTAAGGAGGTAGAAAGTATACGGAAACAATTATTTTTATTGATAATTTGTGGATTAAAACTCTCGTAAATCTCTTGATTCCTCTCTTCAAATGGTTAGAGTTTTGATATGTTTAGAGTACGGGGCCTTGTCGGGTTATTCCATACTATAGACCTACAATGTTTGGTAGTAGGGAGGAGATGAGGTATTGGTGACTTGTTCCATCTGAGCCTAATTAAACCCTAAAACGACCTTCTTTATACAAAGTGTCATAGAGTAGTAAACAAGATATCTATCAAATATTCTACGAGATTGTGAAGATAATATCTTATATTTTTTTATATTCTCTCCTTATTTACATATATATGACACCTAATAATTAACAAAAATTTCGGTGTCAACAAACACTATTAAAAAAATTTAGATGTAAGCTTATTCTTGATCCTATTGTTTAATAAGGTTAAGCTTGATGAATATACTTTTGAGGCGGCTAAATGTCACATCCTTAATGCTAGCTAAGATACTCGCTTTGGAAAGTGTCTTCTTTTTTGGTTCATTATCCTTTGATCTTTTCCTAGTAGCTTCGTTCGTTAAAAAATAGTCCTATGTTAATCACTTTTTGTCTCCACTTTTTTCTCATCCCTTTAACTAAAGACTCCTTTTTATGATCAAATGATGAAGTGATTAAAAAGCGTATTATACTCAAGTTAGTGGTCTACTGGTTTCTCATAATCAAGGTTCCCTTGCTAATTAATATTGTAAAATTATGAGTGACAATTAAAGGATATTTTTTAACACGTAAATATATTTGTCAAGATGTTTTGGGGATACAATACTAATTTCATCGACTTACATAGTTACATGACACATTTTATGCATACTTGTCCTAGAAAAGTCATTAATAATGAGCCTTAGGGTTTCAACAAATATTGTCCATCAAACTAAACATATTGTGTTTTTTTTTTTAATTTTATTCTATACTTTGTATATTTTTTAAAAAATTTGAATGACTTTAAATATGACTCCCTCATTAAAATTATGTAAGATGTTGACATACAATTCAATGGAGTATTCTTAATTTGTAAATAAAAATTTGGTACTCGACTAAAATATACTTGTATCATTTTCTAATCAAAAATTTAAATTTGGTGAAATTAATTTGTTTTGAATTCTTCATGATCGATATGTTTTGAACTCTTCATGTCTTCATGATCAAATAATTGATCATAAAGAAGAATAAAAATTATACTTCCTCCGTTACGAATTACTCACAACAAAGGGGTATTATTTGTGAGACATAAATATTCCCTTATTGCGAGTAATTTTTTTTTGAGAAAAATAAAAAAAAATATAATTATATGAACCACATTTCATTTTCAAATTAATTAAAATTGAAATTTAGTTGTAATATGCCAGTACATATATTGGTACGAAACCAAGTGAATATACTGCATATATCAAATATACAAGTATATTATCATCGATTCAAAGTTCATTACTGTTGTAAAATATATCCGACCTTTGAACCTTAATTTTTACAATTTTTTGTATATTATGCTATATATGTTTAGTTTATCTTAGTTTTGTTGATTTGATCTGATCTAATTTGAGTACATGATTTGATGTAATTTTAACCTTATATGTACGGTAACCCATAATAAGAACAAATACATCAAATGGGGGTATTATTAGATTTATATTAATGTGTATTTTTCAAATATATAACTTTGATAATTTTTTTATAACAAAATTATAGATATTTAGCAATAAAATACCGCATAAAACACGATAAATTATGAGCCAAACTTATTTTTTCTGATCTTATTTGAATAAGCTATAAGACACATAAAAAGGTGAAATAAACATAGCCTTATTCATAAATTTGTAGCAATAATGGCGAAGTATAAGAAAACTCTCTTGCGATAATTAAAAAATCAATTGCGTTAATGAATGAAGCACAATACATAAGTAAAATAACCAACCAAAGAAGCTACTAATTAAGAGAAAAAAAAATCCATTATTATACATGATGAATAAGAAAAAAAAAAAAAGATAAATTACAACACACAACTAAAATAACCTGTACCAGGTTAAAGTAACCAACA